TGTACCGTGCGAGGAGCTCCCGGCATTAGGGCGCTCTTGAGTTTATCATCTCCTCCATCCCCCCTGGCCCCTTTGGGATTCTTGTGGTCCTTTCCTCTGTCTGTTGGCCTCGCTCCTGGTTGTGCTTGCACTCCTGCCTGCGCTTCCGCCTGCCCCTGGCATCCACTCTCACCCATACATGTAATCCACTCTACCCCATAGTAACCTCTCGTACTCTCTCAAACAATCCATATCGATAGTGTTCATGATGATGGTGGTCTGCTATAAGACTTGCGCAAACGATCCACCGCCTCGAACATGTCAAAGCCACCAGCCAAGAACAACAAAAGCACCAGACCAAGATAGATTCAAGCTCTATTGGAGAAAGACTGAGGAATGAGAGGAGGAACTTCTCTTGCTCACATGGATGTATTCTGTATTCTATTTCTCTAGCTACAAAAGCGTATTAGCTCTAGCAAGTTTTTGTTGTTTTGTGTCTTTTTGAAAATTGCCTCCACAACTGCGTTCCTCCACAATTGCGTTCCGGGCCACCATGACGAGAGCTCGAGAGAAAATGAGAACCCGGCGTTTTAGTGTTGTATCATGTTCTGGCCTGTCTACCAGGAACGCCACGAACAGAAAGGTCTGGTCTTGTTCTTTCCCCCGTCATTGCCAGCACTCCCAACCAGCCTTGACGTCGAGTCAGCCGAAGAGAGAAAGGTGGAGGAAGAATCACCAATCATGAGCTGAGAGGAACTCAAAGTGACTTGTGTCACTGTATTGAGCGCCTCGACAGCTCGGATGCTTCCAATGGCCACCTGGCCGGCCACTCCAATACTCCCAATCCCGATAGCGCCAATCAACAGAGGAGTGGCCACTGTTCCAATAATGCCCACGGCTACGGCTCCGCCCACACCCTGGAGCTTTTCTTTGCTCACTTGACGAGGGGTCTTGGGCTCGAGTCTCCAGCGAGTATTTCCATGTACAATCGTTCCTGGTTCAACCGTGCTGACGGGGCCCTTGTCGGGTGCCACCAATACGCGTTTAGTTTGATACGCTCGCACGACAATGCCGTCTTCTCGTTCTTCCATGACCCAATGGTCGGATCCGTCTCGTTCTGAGGGCTCACTGTGCGGACGCAAGGATACCTCTCCGTCTTGATCGGATACCAAGTATTGTTGTCGTGCATTGGAATACAAGCGAACAATCCCCTTGGGACTACCAGGAACCGGTTCAATCTTCCATTCTTCTGTGATCAGGCGTCCAGGATATCCTCGGGTCGTTATACCTCTTTTCGCTCCTTCCAGCCGTCGTGCATTGTCGGCGGTGACTAGGTAGTAGGTTTGTCGATGCAAGGATTCCAAATCCCAGACACAAGATTCATCCAACAAGAGAGCTGTATCTGGAATGGTACAGAAACATTGCTGGTGGCAGTCGTATCGAAGAACTCTGCTACCGGTAGTGGCGGTTGACGTTGAGGAGGTTGGAACCACAGCCTTGATAACAACCCCGTACAATCCATTTGGCGCCTTTTGGACATTCCAAATAGTGGATGATCCTTGAATCGCACTCTCTTCCTTGGTACAACAACTCACCACTCCATCCTCATTGCTAGCCAAGAATAGTTCGGAATGAGCCCATGGGGAGATACGAACGTTGTCGTGCTGCCATGTTTCGGAGAATCTCCAAGCCTCCCATCCTTGAAAATTGGTGCTCAAGGAAAGCTCTCCAATGAGGTTGCATCGAACTTGCTTGTTCATCAATGGCAAAGACATGAAACAGAGCTCTCCAGAAGTGAATTCGAGGGACCACGAGATTGTTTGTCGTCGTTTGGGGTTACAGATGTTGATGTCTTCCGGTAACGCCGCGTGAATGGTGTTCCCCGAGCAAGTCAGCACTCGTTGACTGACGAGCGAAGAGAGAACCGCGTAGGACCGTTCCTTACTCGTATCATTATTCGTGGTCATGATCCACTGTTCCATACCATCACACCCCGTTTCCGAAGCGTACACGGATCCCTTGGTGGACGAGCACAGGTATTGTTGCGTCTTGGTATTGCGCAGGAGCACTGACCCGTCAGCTTGGGGGAGAATCGCAAACTCGTCGTTACTACTACTGCTAGAACTACTAGTAGCGAGAGAGTCTTGCAGAAAGACGGCACTTTTTCCATTGCAAGCCAAGTGTTTCGTCGTGCCTTGACATCGCAACGAACATCGTACGGGGTTTTCGACGTACGAAAAGTCAGTCAGCAGGCGTGGTTGCAGGACGCACTCCAATGACGGCTCTTCCTCCGTTACACAACCACTCGTATCATTGCAATCGTTTTCTTGTAGTCCCGCAGCGTTTTTGACTTGATTGGTCTCGTAGATGACAGTAGTGTCGAGAAAGGCCCCTACATGTAGAAGCGCCTTATTCTTCTTGTTGGCATCAGGGGCCATGGTGGGAACGTTTTTTATTAACTACCGTGCACAACAGTGCTGACAAGGACCAGCCAGCAGAAACGGCTACGGGTACAAGGACGATCCGAAAGAGTGAGCTCCAATGGAGGGAAAAGAACGAGTGCTAAACGATGGGTGGGTCTTGTCGGCAGTAACTCTTGTGGAGACAACGGTTTTTGGGTCCCTTACAAAGACGGCTAAAGTTTTAGCATGGTGGGAGTCGCATTCACGTTGTACTCGTGACTGCAGCCAGCGCGACCCGCACTGTTGCGGTCACTCGTTTTGTTGTACCAGGAAGTTGTCTATCGGCCCCGTAGTGAGGAAGATAGTGTTATCTGTTTCTAGCTAGTAGGCAATCTTTTAGTCTGTTGCCCTCACGGACCAGGTGATTTGAAAGAGGAGGGAGGAAAGTGTCCAGTTTGATCCATCAGGACTGCGCACTTTGAAGAACGGAGAAATAGAAGCTCCGAGCCCCGAGCCCCGAAAAGAGCTTGTTCAGCCACTGGAACAGCACCAAGAGACCGGGCCACTGCCGCTGTTGTTTCGTCGAAGATCACCATGTGCGATACATGTAATAACTGCTCTTACGGTAGGGTTAAAAAAGAGCGAAAGGGTGCGTTGTTTGCAAAACCGGGGGCAATCGAATACCAGTGGAATTATTCAATGAACCAGGCACTTGAGTAGTGGAATGATGATTCGTTGGTAAATTTTGTGCTCCCCGAAAACAAACAAGAAAACAGGCATCCAGTCTCACTGCACCTTGTGGCATACAACATGCTGCCTGTTCGATGAGGCTGCGCCAGTCAGTTGGCAACTTGCAGATGCATAGATGCATTCTTCTTTTAAAACTGGTCCGGGTCACTCTCGCGACAGCGACACGTGAGACAAGTAATTCTTTTGGTACGGTAACTTTAGCGGTACCGTACCGTAGTAACCAATGCAATGTAGCTCCATGAGCAAGTTTGCTCATCCCCGTACACGTAACTGGCTTCGTTATCAAACCTGAAGTGGGTTTTAACATTGGCGACAAGGTGATCACCAGTTGACCTGGGGCTGCTAGAGTCGAGTCCTTCAAGAGCCCAGCCTCTTGTCCAATGGGCCAGCTGGAGACCTGGCCAAGCTTCGAAGAGATAGCTGGACTTCCCTTGGATGGACGTACGAGTTACCAGGCTCTCTCTTTGGCATTGCTAGTTCAGGCCTGAATGGCCAGCCTTTGGGAGATGCCAAGGCCGGAACAAAGATCCTGATCCTTGGGTTATCTGGTGGTACAAGATCCTTGGCTGTTCAGCTTGGGGCAGATGTGGTCATTGAAAGAAAGAGGATCGGAGCGAGGCCTTACAGGGATCCGAAGTGACACGATTTTGATTGTGACGTACTCGACGGGCACCCAAGGTGCTGAAGAAGGGTGGGAAATACATGTACATGTAGTCTAGTTTCCATTGCCAACTTCGATGGAGAAGCCCCCACAGCTGCCAGGTACTAGCAGTACATATAGACTACTGTCTTCTTGGCCAAGGTTGACTGGGAAGATCTTCAAGCCATTCTCAATTGTTGTCCCGGTGGATTCGATTTGGAGTACTAGTACAGCTGTCCATCCGATGTACCTGGTACTTTTAGGACGACAAAGTTCAAGCGCAGTGGTTTAGTCACGAGAGTTCTCATCAACGTCGACTGAGCACTCGGCTTGCTTGGCAATGAAATCGGACGAAGTACCCTTTTACTTCATGTCTACATCTGGGATCTACATGTACATAGACAAGGAAAACAAAATTTTAGAGTACCGTAAAAGTAGACGTTACCGCACCTAGAATGCAACTACTAGTACATGTAGAACACTCAAGAACATGCAAGAGGATGAGCGTACTGGTACTAGTACCACCGTATCGGTACACCGGTACGTAGTACCACGGTAAGGTACCATGGTACTGGTACTGGTACTGTACGGGTCCAAGAGCTTCTCACGCGATTGTTGGTGGCAGTACTGTACAACGTACGGTACGACTGTACGATACGACTGTACGATACGACTGTACGGTCCAGGTCAAGTGTCAAGCTGAAATGTCACAGCATTAAATTTTGATTGACCACTGGAATCTAAAAGAGGCAAGTGAGTAATAAATAAATCGTACTACTGCTGGTAGCTGGTAGCTGGTAGCTGGTAGCTGGTAACTGGTAACTGGTAACTGGTAACTGGTAACTAGCTAGAGCGGGAGTCCAGTACTCAGATTATAGTAATCGTCGTCAAGGAGAATTTTGGTGATATTAAGGAGAACAATACTCGTCGAGCGTCTAAAATAATTTATTTTATATAGCATGAGCGGAAAACCAATAAAGAGCTCTCTTCTAAGTATCTTTTCTGGAAGTGTCATGGGTCTTTAACAGCCAATCTTCTTTTACTCATGTTGATCCACACTTCAACAGAAGAGCAGCTCGGATCAACGACGAAAGCACCACGACGAAAGAACAACGACGAAGGAAAGAAATGTGTTTGCCCAGAAGATCGTTCAAATGGATCCTCAGCTCACAAAACCAAAAGCCAAACTTTCAAATCTAACAAATAACAACAGCAAAGAAATCAAAAAGATGAAGTGGATCAACGTCCTTCATTTCTTCCTCTTTCTTGGAGCTTTGGCTGTCACCAAAGCAGATGAAGGCGAAGAGCACCCCTTTTATATCAATCACCCGTACATCCCACCCAATTCTATCATGGCGCGAAGTCCCTGTCCAGCTTTGAACACTTTGGCCAACCATGGATTCATCAGTCGAAATGGTGAGGGTGTCACCGCCGACGATATCACCGTTGGCTTTCAGAAGGTTTTCAACCTCAGCCCAACTTTTACTGCATTCCAGGTTGGCGTAGCCAAGTCTGTGGGTATCCCTTTTTCTGTCGATGCATCCGGCAAAGAATCCTTCAAATTGATTGATTTGTTTCTACACAACTTGTTGGAACATGATGCCTCTCTTGTCCGTCAGGATGAACACTTCTTCCATATTGCACAGTACGACGGAGGATTGTTCCAGGCTATGGTGCAGCCTGCAGTAGATCGGGGTGATGAATGGGTCACTCGTGAAGATATCGCTATTCATCTTGCCAGACGCATTCGACATTCCATACGGAACAACCCCCAAGCAGATTTTGAACTTGATCCCGGCTTTGTGCCGCGATATGCCGCTGAGATACTGAGTTTATTTACATTCGATGATGATGCTAACCTTGAAAGAGCCAGAATCACCAGATTGAGAAGTTTCATGGATGACAACAGAATCCCAGACGATTTTGTCCCCAGGAGTACATTGGGGCAGACAATCTTTACATCTCCCTTCGATCCACGATTTGTTTCTGGCGTTCAATACTTTGCACCCGTTATCGTCAATGCAATTGCTAGTGCTGCTGAAGGCTATGTGGATTCCGAAATGGGCGGAGATCCCCATCTCAAGACATTTGCCGGAGAGTGGTTTGATTATTCTGGAGAATGGTACGCATAATGTCTCGATTGCACAGCAGCATATCGCTGATGATGCAAAGTACTCACCTGGCCTCTGTTCATTGACTACTTATAAAAGTGACCTAAAACTCATCCATGTCCCCCAGTTTACTGGAGGAAAGGACGACTTGGACATTCATGTACGCACAACTGGACGGTATGGCTACAGTTACATTGAATCAGCGGCCATTCGCATTGGCGATGACACTCTCCAGGTCTCCAGCTGGGGTGAATATGCTGTCAATGGAGTTCACGGTGCTAGGAACACGACAGCCAAGCTTAGGCAAGGCCGAAAGCAGCAGCAGCAGCAGCAGCAAATTCTTTTGTTGGGTGGTCAATATCCCATTTATCACAAAGTCACGAGCCCAAAGACTCATGTCTTTGATGTCATGCTGGGCAAGGGTCAGAACATCACCTTCAAGATTCTAAAGGACATGGTGACTATCCAGATCCGGCATGCCACCGTAGAAGACTTTGGTGAAGTGATGGGTGTGTTGGGTGATTTTCATGGCAGCATGCTAGCCCGTGATGGGGTGACTGATTTTAGTGGCGATATCAATGCCATGGGTCAGGAGTGGCAGGTTCGAGCTGATGAACCCAAGCTGTTTCAAACTGCAAGAGCTCCCCAGTATCCCGACAAATGTGCTTTCCCCCACATAGCCAAGAAGACAGGACGTTGGTTGGGAGAGGCTATTAGTGAAGACGAAGCCCAGACTGCATGTGCTCATTTGAAAAAAGATGACGCCCATGAGTTTGAAAATTGTGTCTATGATGTGATGGCCACCAATGACTTGGACCAAGCCCTCCGTTAGAAAAGAGTAAGAGAGAAACCTCCTGCGAAAGACCTCAGCACAGAATGCATTTGCAGTGATTGAGTCGTTGAGCGAGCTGCCTATTGAAAGAAAAGTTGATGTAAAATGGTTATTAGGATTATTGTGGTTACTTACTGTGCGGATCAACTAACTGGAAGTCGAGTGACTGTAATAGAGTTCCCTAAAATTTGTGTTTAATAAAAAGACTTCACGTACCGGCACGTAGGCACCCTCCGTTACGTTTCGAAGTTGTTTTGCTGGTCGGGTGTCCGATAGCAATAATAATGTTTGCAAGGTGAGTGACGTGACGAGTCCAAACAAGGTGTTTCCAAGCAAAGGTGGCACACACGCTGCCTCCCCAACGTGGTTGTTCTAAAGCCCATGGTCTACCGGTACTGTTCGTACGTCGCACCTATTTTGAAGAAAGGGTTAACGATAAGAACTGGTGACTTGAAGGATGTTAGAAAATGTCGTACGAACTCTGCGGCATTCTTTCATTTAATTCTCTGAAGGATACGTCACTCGAAGTCATTATGACTGCCATCACCCAAAACATACGTGACAACATCAATCGCAGTCGATCCGTTGTCTCTCAATTATTTTTCATTCAACGAGCTGTGTTGTCTTTGAAGTCAACTAGCTAGCTGATGTACATGTCTACCGTACTACTCCATGTATATATGATATAGCTAGCTAGATATATAGCACTAATCTACATGTAAGATGAGCACTCGCGACTTGATGGCCAACTTGGATGCTCAGTTGGAAAACTGGAACGACGATGATGATGACGACGACGACAGTGAGAGTGACAGCGACGAGGAGGACAGCAGCAGCGAAGAAGAAGACAGTGACGACGAAGAGGATGAGGATGATGACGAAGAGGAAGACGAGACGGAAGATCGGGACACGACAGAGAATCCTTCGGTGAGTGAACTGGGATTGGATGTCAGTAGCAGCGACGACGACGAGTCGGATGAGGAATCGTCGGAAGAAGAGAGCGATTCGTCGAGTAGTATCACGCTTACCAGTCGGAATGACGACCATTGGTTGGAAGAGTCGACCGTAGGCAGTGAACCTACGACCGCCAGTCAGGCGCAGCGTCGACTCAACGAAGCCAGTATGGAAATCAGGCAACAGCTAGAACTGGAAAAGCAAAAGCTGGCTACGACGACTAGTGCTACTACTAGTGCTACTGCTACTGCTACTGCTGCGGTTGCGCATGTTCCAAGAAAACCTCCAAGTCCTGCCACGAGTCTCTACAATCGAAATCTAGACGACAGTGAAAAACTACGATTGCAACGAAAGAATACAGCAGAGTCCATGCGAGCAAGACCAGCACAAGCACAAGCACAAGCCATTCCCACTGACATTCCAACTGACATTCCAACGACTAGTACTGCTAGCAAGAAGCCAAAGCCATCACCAGGGTTGCAACGAAGAAACACCTCCGAGTCCACACGAATACAACCTCAACCTCAACCTGGGCTCCAACGCACATTGACATCCGACACTACTACCAGCAATTCCAAGACTACTAGTACGAACACTACAAGCCAAAACAACAACAACAAAGTGGTCGATGTCAGTCTCAAGAACAAATTGGATGCCAGCGAGAAACGACGCATCTCGTCACGGAGACGACTGGCCGCCGAACACCGATCGTCATCGGATCGATCCATCACACACAACCATACTGGCGGAATGGACAATAGTCAAAACAGTCACAAGAGTTTGGCCAGTGTCCGCACCCATCTCTCTCAAAAGGAAATGAAAGTACGAGACGAACGTGTCCGCGCTGTAGAGGATTCCTTTGCGTCGCACAAACGAGCGTCGCTCCAACGACAACTCTCCGACAAATTGATACAAGAACAGCAAGAAAAGTTGCAAGAAATGGAAGAAGAAGAAATACGTCAAGCACGACAAGAAGAAGAAGATGCGAGACGGGCGTTTGACACCAAAAAGAAACAACGCTATTCGCGATCCAAACAAGTCAAAGCGAAACAGCAAGAAAATCAACAACAGCAAGACAAGCAAAAGGAACCACCCCAACCACGACGATCGTCCATGAAGAAATCCATTCAAGTTCATCAACAATCATCCGAAGTCTCTCCAAAAAATCATCAACACTTGCAAGAGCACATGGAACAAAAAAAGCAAAAGCAGAGTCAGTTTCAACAAATGAAAATCAAACAATTGCAAGAACAATCGTTTCAACAGCAATTGCAAAAGGGACATCAATTGAAACAAGAAGAACAAAAGAGACGACAACAGGCGTTCATACAGCAGCAGACACAACAACATTTATTGGACGATTCCTCCTCCTCTTCGTCATCATCCGATGATGAGTCTGATGATGACTCTGATGAATCCTCGGGATCGTCCGCATCTGGTGCCGAGGAGACCACCACCGAGGGTTCCAATAAAAACGACAACAACGACAACAATAACGACAAGTCACAAAAGAAGAAGAGGGAACAGTTCCTCGATGAAGAGGACGACATTTGCAGTGACATTCGTCTGTCGGATGATTCGTCCGATAATTCGTCGTCTCTTTCGTCTTCTATTGGGACCACCACCAGCAGTGGGGATGCCGGTTCTTCCTCGTCGTCTTCGGAATCCTCGTCATCCAGTGGTGCTGAAAAGAAAAAGGTCGCGCCACAAACCAAACAACTGCAGTCGTCTTCGCGTTCACGAAGAAGAAGACGGACGGATGATGACAACAGCAGCAAACGACGCATCATGTCATCCTCCTCGGGTGCTCATACATTTCGATCCGTCTCTTCGTCCGTTGCACCCAGTCATGCCAGTGGAGGAGAAGTCTCGGATTCTTCCAAACAGCAGCAGCAACAACAACAACCAGGAGGAGACAGTAGCAACAATAACCAGCCATATCATCATGGACGATCCCTCTATGGACGAAACTTGACCAATTTCCCAAAACCAACAAACGCGGCACTAGCACTCAAACGGGTGCCCACCAATACCAATAACAATAACAACACAACCAACAACAACAAGTGCAGCATTGCCGACAAGGAGGAACGGGAGAGGTTTTGGAGGGCTTTCTTGACATCGCCAAAATTCAAAGTAAGGGCACTCGTATTGCTGGCCATTGGGGTCGGGATTGTCGTGGGGCTCGTCAACTTTGCCATTGGACGAACTGTGGAAGCCAATCCGCAGTGGAAGGTATGTACAGTATGTACAGTATGTGGGAGTAGTTGGGTTCTTTTGTTGCTTGTGACGGGTTCTCATTCATTCTGTTATTCATTCCGCAGTTCCAACACCATGCTGTGATTGCACTGAACGAAACTGCTCATAGACTACAATCCACAACCAAGGCGGTACATGACCTCGCATACAATTTGCAACAGGAATTACTCGCTGCCAATGTATCATGGCCACTCGTCACGGCGCAGAATCTAAAGCGGCATGCCTTGACACTCGCTCATTACAAACATATCCGATCCGTTATTGTGGCCCCCTTGGTGGCGCCCAAACAGTGGAAACGATTTCAGCAGTACGCAGATAGAGTGCTGGACCAACAGCAGGATTATATAGACTCGCTACCACCCAAGAAGCAACAACGATACCAAAACGTGTTCCTTCGATGGGATGCTTCCAAATTTGAGGAGCCAGGGGACTTGGAAGAAACAATCTTTGTCCCCTGGCAACAGTCACAGACCAATCCAAAACAGTACTATGCTCGTCCTGCCTACTCCAATGCCAAGATCGTACAGGATTGGTACGATTATGACGAGCAAGAGGATGACGACGTGGAGGGTGTCTGGGAAAGTATATCAAGGGGACGAACAAGGAATGAGACAAATAGTGCAGCAAACAACAACAATCCAGTCTTGATGTTGAGACGACCAACAGCAAGCGAGTTGGCAGCAAGAAATGGCACAGCAAGCTCAAGTTCGGCCAAAAACTTTGATTATTTGCTGCAACCAATGGTCGGCACGGTCGTTGTGGAAAAACGGTTGCTACGCCCCAACAGGTTTGAGCAACAAGTCGTTGCCTTGCTGGCGGTTCAACTTAGATGGGACCTGATGTTGCAAGACGCTCTGGGATCAGCATTTGCATCTCTTTTTCCGCCCGAAGGAACGAGTGGGAACCAGAATGAATTATCGAATACACACGTCGCTGTCGTTGCAGAGTTACAGGATCGTTGTACCGGAGCCACAATCCGGCGATACAATGTGCCAATTCCTCATGCTCGCCCCGAGGGCGATCGACGTCGGATGCCGCCGTCTCGATCCATTGTTGCAACGGAGGGTCGAGATCAGATGCAAGACGACAGTAGCTTGCTTGGCGCCATGGTTGAGGAGAACATTGATCCAGCAGACAGCTCTTCGATTCCTACTGAAACCCGCTGTCCCAAGGCAACCTTCTGGAAGCTGCTGCTTTATCCCACGGATGGGCTCAACGATGCGCTTGTAGAGCATGATTGGGAGCTGTACGAAATCATCATGACTTGGCTGTTGCTCTACAGCTTTGTCTGCGCCGTTGTGTTCTACAGATTGTATGAAAGCAAGCTAAACGAAGAGATCCAAGAACAACACTGGCAAGAGGAGATGGAAAACGAGGAGGTTGATCCTGACGAAGTTGCTTCCGCTGTCACGGTTTTGGTGATGGACATCGCCGGTTGGCAGGAATGGGCTGCCACCAAGACACCATCCGAAGTGGTCTGCTTCATAACGAGTCTTCTCCATGCCACTGACCAACTGGCAAAGGAACACAAGGTGGTAAAAGTCAAAACTGTGGGAAGTTCAATGGTATATGCCAGCGGTAGACCCAAACATGCATTGGCCCTAGCTCGGTTTGTTAGGGACGTTGTTGTTAGTTTCCAGCAATGGACGGCGGAATTGGAACCAACCTATGGCCCAGGGACGTTAGAGCTGAAACTCAAAGGGGCGCTAGAGACCGGAACTCTTGACCGAAGGCTTTTGATCAGGCAAGGCTCTAAAGTCAACGGCAACGCAATTCACAAAGCCTCCTTATTGGAAGAATCGTGTACAGGAGGGCAAATTCTGATGTCCAGCCAGTTCGCGCATACCTTACGTCAATACGGCCGTGCCAAGTGGATCCAGCCTTCCGAAAAGAATCCAGAAACCTTCTACATGGTTTTCAATGCGGTCTCGAAACTTAGGGATGGATCGGGCCACTCATCGAGACGACTGATGAAGGATGGATCAGTCCATTCGACTAGACGCCTATCAGGCCACTCTGCAAGAAATCTTTTGAGCGGATCGAACCACTCGAGGCGAACCTTGGACCGCAGTGGATTCAATCAGTCGAAGCGCAGCTTAGCCAGCGCTTCGATTCAGCTTTCTAAAGTTCCTGGCGATCAAGACCTGCCAAAGAGAAGTGACTCACCCCCTCCTTTGGCCGGTATGGAGCAGACGGGAGAACACCATCCTCCGCCCATAGAGTTGATTGATGTATCCAACTCCGATATGGATGACGTTGAATACGGTGAAGAAAGCAGTTCAAACCCAAGTGCCACCGCCTTAGATCTAGGTTACGAAGAGATGGAACCAAGAACGTTCAACCACGATGACGAAGATGATGAATATGAGTCAGATGAGGATGAGGATTACGATGACGATGTTTCCAATGCTTCTTTGGAACAAAAGCAGATGGTACTCGAGATGGCGCAGAAGAAGGAACGTCTAATTGAATGGAGCATTGACTTGCTAACCAGATGTTTGGAAGAGATCCTCGCGGCTCGGACAACCCAGAATTCTATGAAAGCATTGGCAAGTGTGGAAGATCAACTAGGGACTGGATCAAATATCTTGGAGCAGTGCAAGGAATTCATCTCAATTCCAATCTTCAGTCAAAGTGAACTCCGCGAAAGGAAGCAGCCAGGTTCTATCCCCATGACAGATGCTGCGAGTAAACAGCTGCGGGATTATGTGACAAAGATTGCCGACTCTTATAGCGGTACGGGATAGGATGTATTTTGTTTTTGTTTTTGGGTGAATTGCCGTCATACTCACGAATCACAATTAATCATGCTTGGCTCAACAGACCATGCTTTCCACAACGTACGTGCAAAACCGCAGATTATATTTCCTTCTGAACCCTCTTCTGACCGAGCCTCTGTCCATCTTTCAATGGCACTCCCCAGTTCGAACACGCCGCCAATGTAAGTGTGGAAATTACCTCAGAATGGTACATTAGCCCCTGTGTTTTCACGTGCCAATTCGATTCCTCTGCAACAGGTCACAGCTTGCTTGAGAAAGATGTACAACAAACTCATGGGAAGCGAGTTCACTCGGCGACGGAGTTCCAACAAAGCTGGAATCATGAATGAGCATAGTGGACGATCGTTGTTTTCTTCCATTTCAGTTGGTCATTCCACATCCTACGGGATCAAGACTGACCCATTGATCAAGTTCTCAATCATTTTTTGTGCATTGATTCACGATGCAGGTACGTCTTCGCAATGGAGGAAGTTCCATGACATTGACAAACTACAGGACTCACGCCCTTACCGTTACCCTTCTCCACAGACCATCCGGGTGTGCCAAATCAACTCTTGATTGATGAAAACTCGCCCATGGCTGCCGTCTACAAAAAGAAAAGCATCGCTGAACAGAACTCTGTTGAGGTACGTGCGCGACAATTTGTAATTCATACCGGTCATTGATAGGTTGCCCTCTGAACCCGATGATTGCTGTTACAGTTCTCGTGGTCGCTGCTCATGCGGCCGGAATACGTTGATCTGAGGGCAGCGATATACTGCAACGAGAAAGAGATTAAAAGGTGAGCGCTGAAGCTGGGACAATTTGCAGTCGCTGTCTGTTTATCCAGGACTAACATGAAGATGGCTTGTACAGATTTCGTCAAGTCATCGTGAATTGTGTTCTTGCCACAGACTTGCATGATCCCGACTTGCAGGTGAGTAAAGGAATTGCTTGTCACGCCCATCACCCAACGGTGTCATGATGGCAGAATGGCGCTAACATAGCACGTTGCCTGCATCTCTCAGACTTTGCGCAAAGCTCGCTGGGCGAAAGCGTTCGCCGAAGAAGGGCAGGCAGTCGCTACGGCCAAGCCAACCAAAAGGGGACCACGACGAGGAAACACAAAGTCGATGGATTATCCAAGGAAGCGCCAGCCGCCGGGCGCTGCCGCATCAAACAGTATGCTAGACGCTCTTCGGCAAGCTGCGACCCAGGCTTCCATGTCGCTTTCGTCACGACCAAAGGACGATATTAACCGCAAGGGAACGATCGTGTTGGAGCATCTTTTGCAAGCTGCTGACATATCACACACTATGCAAAATTGGAAGGTTTACTTGAAATGGAATGAGGTACGGCCTGATTTATTGCAGCATGTGTTTGTTCGTTTGCCAATTACTCGTAACTCTAACCTGCAATATGAAACGTCGTCAAACAGAGGCTGTTCGATGAGTTCTTCGAGACATTCGAGTCTGGAAGGAGTGGACTTGACCCGGCGACCACTTGGTACCAAGGAGAGCTAGATTTCTTCGACTTCATTGTCATTCCTTTGGCCAAGAAGCTTTCAAGCTGCGGCATTTTCGAGGAGGCCGGGGAAGAGCTCCTCGAAAATGCAATTTCCAACAGGCAGGAATGGGAATCGAAGGGGCACGAGGTCCTACAGGTTTACGTTGCCCATTATCGTGAAAGCCACGTTCACCACGTCCAACAGCAAGCTAGGGACAACGGCGAAAATAGCGAAATAGCAGTTGAGGGTGTCGAAACCCTTGAGAGCGCTCGTCCTGGGCAGCGCGATAGCAATGGTACTCTCATGGCGCTGTCCCGGCGCTCTACTGCATCATCGCTTACACCCATCAGGTCCAGCGAAGACCAGGATGAGAATGCGTCTACTACCGGTACGACGGAGAAACAAATGCAAGATAGTCAACTAGGACTGAAACTTGCGCTCCTCCCCGATGCCGCGCCAGACGCAGCTGCCATCGGAAATGCATCCGTAGCGGACACGCTCAGTGACGATGACGATGGCGATACGAATTCCCAGTTTCCGGATCTTGATATCGTGTACGCGGTGCTTGAAAATGCTGATGACCCGGATGATTTCTTCTCTTACACCTTGCTTACACCAAAGCAACTGCGAAAGCGCAAGGAACGGCAGGAGAAACAAGAAAATGTCACTTTGGGCAGCAAGGATGTCATGCGGGAGCGAAGGCGCCGCATTCGCCGCCAAACCGGAGCCAGCGCAGTTGCCAGCGCAGGGTTTGGGGTTGCAGGAAGAAGAATCTCAAGAGGCAATTCGTTTCACTCAAGAAGCAGTTTTATCTCTCTCAATTCCGATGTCTCAGAAGTTCAAGTTGACGGCGATACGCCTATCAAAAGGCAGACAACAATGTTCTGATGTGGCTGTCGACTCTTCCTGGAGAGCTGGAAGGATTGCGTTTGTGCGTATCGTCAATGGTTTCTGTTGAAGAAGTGTAAATCTTGGAAATAGACTAATGCTATTATTTATGAACTATAGATGTTACCCGGTACGCGGTGGAGCCGGTTTGATGCGAGTTTTTGACCATCTCGCACATCAACGATCGCATATTTGTGAATTATGAGCTAGTAGGAAACTGGAGCTGGATGTGTGTGCCCCAGATGACTTTCTATCGCCCCTCGTTGTTCCCTGGTGGGAAGTTTGGTGGAAGATTTGGAGGTCCCCGTTGTTGGTCCTCTTGTTCTCGTCTTTGTTGGAGCTGTAGGACTTGTCGATACCGTTGCTGGGTGGGCGACAGCAACAGATTCGATGGAAGCGCCAAGGAATCTTGACCCAGCACTCTCCTGGCCAACCCTGAACTTTGCCCTAGCGGACTGGCAAATGGGTTGGGAGAGGCAATGGCTGCCTGCAGCTGCCTTCGCAACTGTAACTGAGTTGACAAATCTGCCTGTTGCTGTTGCTGCTGGTGTTGTTGTTGCTGAAGTTCTTGCTGTTGTTGCTGCTGTCTCCCAGCGGCCAACAACGCAGAACTCCGGCGACTGCTCTGTCCTTGACGACATGCCGCAGCAGCTGCTAGAAGCCTGCTGGTATGATCTTGTTGTCCAGGCAGGGTTGGTTGCTGTCCTGTGAAGCTATCCCGTTGACCCGTGGCCATGAGCGAGAACAAACTGGCATCTGCCTCGGAGACGGGCAAGTCGGATTCCTGCTTCGATTCCTGATCCATCAAACGACTGCGCTCTCGTTCGATTGCCAACAGGAGTCGCCCTTCTTGCTGCCGTTGCTCGCGCTCTCGTTCGATGTTGTTCACCATGGATCTCAATAGTGCTTGCTGTTCGACACTATCGTTAGCAGCTTGTTGCTGTTGCTGCAACAGCTGCAAGTTCGACGAGGCTAAGAGTTCTCGATGACGATGGCTGGCTGGGCCGTTGGCCGCAGCAGCAAGCGAAGCAATGCCCCTAATACGCGTGCTGGGATTCGACGTTGTAGCGGCAGCAACAGCCGCAGCCAAACTGGAAGTCCCAGTCACACTTGCAGTTGGGGCTGTTGCAGGGGCGGGGGCAGAAACGGGAACTCGTTGCCCGAAGATGGACTGCAAGATAGATGCGTGAGACCTTTGATTGAGAGGACTGGGAAGGTGGGAGGGCAGCCCACCCAATGTGGAGTTGCCAGCAGCAGTTGTAGCCGCTGCAGGAGCACTGCTTCCCAATGCTAGTCGCGAGCTCAGCGGCAACGCAGCCAAGGTCGAGTTGGCGGTGGCAGCGAAAAGCGCAGGCGTCGTACCCGCATTGGGTTGAAGCACGTGAGCAATCCTCTGAGAGGTTGTGGCTTGGGGGAAGAGAGAGAACTGGGACGAGGGGGCATTGGCATTGGACGCCTGCTCCCCCATCTTTCCTTCTTCCTTTTCGATGAGCTTGACCAGCTCGGGTCTGCCCTTTTGGAAGGAGCGGTGGTAATATGCTACCGTCTTGGGTGGGAGTGATCGATCGACATACTTCCGGAAACCCCTGAAGAATGAGGAGGGCACATAGGACGGTGAGTAAAACCAAAAGGTGAAGCCAAACAGATAGTAGCTAGCTAGTGCCAAAGGGAGCACTTACCACCGATTGAGCTTGCGAATGATAGAGGTGAACTTGTTGCCACGAAAGTGACTCTCGAGCAGCTTATCAGAGAAGGCGGGCTCATTGATTGCGAAGGCGTCGTTTCCAGGCATCCACCAGATCGCGTCCTCTAGCTCTTCAGGATACTTGAGCAACTCCCAGAGCTGATCCGGGAACAGCATGTGATTCTCGAACAGGGGGACGTTGACTTTGAGGACAGGACCATCATCATCGCTGCCCTCATCAGAGCTCCCAGTCTTGGCGTTGGCACTTGTACGGGCGCCCTGCGCCTGAGCCTCAGACCGCTGTCTCTTCTTAGGATGGCCAGCTGCAAGATAGGATCAGAGGAGAGAGAAAGAAAACCGTTAGAAAAATCCATCTCATTTCAAAGGTGACAGCTATAAACCATTTGCAGACCATATCCCTTGGCTTTTTAAAACTAGGTAGCACTGCTACCTCACCAGGCCAAGCTACTAACTAGCTGCTAGTTAGTAGCTTAGCCAAGAAACGAAATTGAGCTTACCTTCACCTGTATCTTCAGCCACCGCCATGGGTACAGCTGCTCTCTTCGTGCTGGCAGCACCTTCCATGTTATCTTCAGCGGCTGCTGCTGTCGCGAACGCAGCGGCACCGGTAGCTGCAGCCGCGATTAAGCTAACCTGATTGCTGTTGTCATCTTCCGGAGCTTGTTGGCGTTTCGATTCTTCATTCTTCTTGGACATGATACGTTCGTCTGCTAAAAGCAGGAGAGTGGCAGCCAAACGCTCCTGAACCGTCCTGCTGTTTGGGGAAGTCTCTTCCTCGTTTGCTGTTGCTGTTCTGCTACTATTGATCTTCTTAAACTCGCTGCTGCTGTTGCTGCTGCCGAGTTGTTGTTGTTGGTTGTGCTTGCTACTAGTCTTCTTGCTGATGAAGCTACTTGAACTGTGAATCATCTTCCTTCCTCAGTCGAATTGTGAGATTGTGAGCACAAGCTCAATCTGTAATCACTTGGGCTGAGCAAAACTAAGTTGAACGAGCCAAGGTGGATATGAATGCAAATGAACAAAGGTATCCGCTCGAGGCCAAATTGGGTAATCTCTTGATCCGAATTCTAGCTTGTGCTCCCTTATTTGTGTATGCCTGTTGGCGGTGCTGGCTACTAGCTAGCTGTACCTGTTGTATTTTGTATGTGAGGTTTGGTGGCTGTGTTGATTTTTTGTTGTGGCGGTCTGACTTTATCGGGCTATAGGAGTACCAGTGTGTTTTTCTCTTCTTGGAAGGGTGCCAAGATGAACAGTTTGTTCTTATGATGCCTGCTCAACCAAAACCGGTTCTGGGATTCAAATTCCGAGGGGTTGGATTAGGCTTCTTATGGGTACGTCTCTTCAATTGTGTTGTGAACGGTTGCTGAATGGTATTTCTACGACCCTTAAGCTCGAGGCATCAAAGACTCGAAGTAACTGCAGCAACCAAGGAGTTTGCACTTGGGTATGGCGACGGTATTGCCTCCCTTGTGAAGTCCAGCACTTGTACTGTGTACTATCAAAAAACGAGCTCAGGTCAAGTGGCATCTGGGCTGCTTTAACCAGCACGTAACAGCCACGAGTACGTGTATCTATCTAGCTAGCTAGCTAGCAACGCACCGATTAATTTTGGTTTTTAATCTCTGAAGCTTTAGAATTGAGTGGCGAGACGAGGGGCTATTGGGTTGAATTAGGGGAGAGCTCCACTACCGGGTAGCAAGAGCTATCAAACACAGACTCGGTCCAAATCAGATAATCGGATTGCTTCAACTAACAGACTCTAAAAGGCAGCTGGAGCTCCCCACGACCACCAAAAACTAGCTCAAAAACTCCATAGTCTCAACCAACCTTTCGATCTCTCACGATTTACCTGTCTACCAGTGAATTCATCCGCTCGTGTAGTCGCTACTACACAGCGTAGCACTTGATCACACTGGGACAACAAAACCATCCATTTTGCCAGCTTGTGTCGACCCTATGTCAGCATGGGAAGCTTCCAGAGGAGTTGTGCGCTATGAAAAACGGAAACGGAGCAGCTCCAACTTCAACCATTCGGGACATCGACCCATAGAAGTTTGGTAACACTAAGACTAGGATTGCCCCTTCACGATCAGATACTCGAAAGGGAATCTGTGGCTTAAATTTAGACGAACCCTGAAAAAACCTAGACTGAATGTACAGTACCTTTAGAAGCTCTTTTTGCCGCCTTTTAAACGTGCTTCCTCTGGCATAAATGAGTTGAGACTCATGTTCTTATAGCCAAAGAAGTTTTGTTTCGCTTTCTGGTTTTGTAGTCACCACCACGTCGCCTCAGTTTCTGTCACTGGGTTTGAGGGCACATACCTGTATCTCCGTTTTAGTTAAGCTTTTGTTTGGGAATCCTCGCCGATTATTGGAAAAGAAGATGGTCAGAAGGAGAAGTGAGAACGCTGAATAGATAATCAGACTAAAGGTTGACTACCACAGAAGCCTAATTTTGCTTTCTGATGCTTAGGCTTCGTTTGATAGTCTAATGACTCCAAACTACAATATACAGGACAGAAAGTCACAAGGGCTATATTGCTTCAATCACAGATTACTCGAATAGACTTCGTTTGCCTTCCTTCGATTAGATTCGAGTTCCGACTCGACAAAAACACTTATACTACTGAAGCATCGTCGCGTAAACATTAGCATTTAGGATGCGTAGTAAAAAAATTTAGGCTTTTTTGGAAATTCGAGTTTGCCGATACATCTGGCCCTCCACAAAAAGCCTTAGTTTTAAATCCGCAGCATCCTTCATGGCTCCTTCATTTTTGGGTGGGTGGGCCATTGCACTCCTCACAGCTCACAGCTGCGATACAAAACGATTTGTTTCAACATCTATCTATCTATTGCCTACCCTCGCTTTTGGCTGGCCATGGACAGAAAGTTCGAAGCTACAAACCACACCTACTGCCCACTGTCGGTTGCTAAACATTGCATCAAAGCAAAAAGAAGCAAAACGAAAACAGCATTGCTAGCTGTACTTCTTTTTTAGATAAGGGGTATAAGGTCGTAAGGAGCGCCCCTCAAGAGGAGCCACGGATCCAGCTAGATCTTGAGGTCCCTTGTGGTTGTGCCGCACGTGCCAAATGCCTTGAAACCATCGACAACAGCGCCTGATCGGCACAGCTCCCACACAACGGAACCAATGCTGCGGGGAGAGCAGATCGTGCCTGGAAAGATCCTGGCCCACCTGAATAAGCGGTTTTGGGTCCGTGCATCGGTTGATGATGGAGTAACAGATGGGGAGACTATTAGGCTACAATTGTTGATCGGGAACAGCTAAATGGTAGTCGTCCTCCACTTGCTTGACCAAAATTTCCCCTATCTGCAACCATCAAGGCAAGGCAGCCATAGCGATGCTGGAGACAAATCTAAAGATCTAAAAATCTCAAGTACAGCAGCAAACATCATTGCAGCCAGATCAAAATAGGCCCGTCGCAAATTACGGTACTAGCTGGCGCAGCTAGTAGTCAAACTTTTCTATGCCATCATGGCAGGAGTTAGATTGCAGCCTTATCCAGTGAGAAACCAAGTGGAAAGTTGATGGTGCTCGAGCTGTCTCCTTGGCTCTCACGATCAGTTCCTGTACAAAGCAAACCTGGTGACTGCCAACTTCAAGAAAGAGCAAAGCATGTACCAGTGCTTTGGCGTCGGCGCCACAAGTTGATTGGTCATTCGTTTGTTTGTTTGCTTGCTTGCTTGCTTGCTTGGGTGGTCTCCAAAGGAAGGAAGCGCATGAGCAAATCCCCAACCCTGAGAAGAACAGTAGGTTCCTTCGGCCAAGGTTGTGTTGCTTCGACTTTCGCGCCACCCATACAACCCTTGGATACTCTCGGATTGGGCTTGGGCTTGTTCAGATGGGTAGGAGAAATTCAAACGATGCGTTTCCATGAACCACCGTGCATGCTTGCACTCGCGTACCGTACGTTCCAGCCAGTACAGAATGCTGCGCTTGCTGCCAACCTGTAGAAGAAGAATGCAGCAGTACAAAACATCGACGGGCACTCGACATGGCGAAGTTTGCTGGCTCGTGAAGCAGATCTCGAGTTAGAACTCCGCCCCAGCCAAGCTAATACATATCTACCGAAATGCACTGTACTGCTCAAGCCAGTCTCCCCGTCACCACGGGCCCTCATTTTGCCACGAAACTCACCCAAGACACCCGTTGCATCACCAAAGTCTTCTTCTGTGGCATGACCGATAAATTTGGATGACAGTCATCATGTCCTTCAAAATCTTGAAGGTGGTGTTCTGCCCCTTGCCCAGCATGACATCAAAGGCACGAGTCTTTGGGCTCGTGGGATTGTGATAAATGGGATGTTGACAATCCAGCAAGAGAATTTGCTGCTGCTGCTGGCCTTGCCCAAGCTTGTTGGCTGTCGTGTTCCTATTGTCAGGCAGCGTACTCACCCCAACTGGAGACCTGGAGAGTGTCATCGCCAATGCGAAGGGCCGCTGATTCGATGTAACTGTAGCCATAGCGTCCAGCGGTGTATACATGAATGTCCAAGTCGTCCGTCCCTCCAACAAACTGGACGAGTTTTAGGTCACTAATAAGTAGTCCATGCACGAAGAGCAGGTGAGCACCCTGCATCATCAGTGATGCACTATGCAATCGAGACATTGAAAGGTACAATGCTCCAGAGTAATCAAACCACTCTCCGGCAAATTTCAAGGAGATGGTCTCCCCACCCCCCGTCCTGGAATCCGCATAAACTTCAGTAGCCTCTTTAGAAGCGTAATCTACGGTTACCGGTACTAGCTAGCTAGTAGCGTACAACAGAACTGTAGCACTCCAACGGAGGTGGTGATCGCTGGAGTATCGAATTACTGAGTCACGAGTACAACGTGAGTCACCAATCTTCTTGACCCTTTCAAAAAAATGTGTTCGAAACCACGGCGTGGTGAGTTTCCACGTTTGAGAAAAGAAAACTACAGGACAGGTTAGAAAAAAGAGAAAGCTGCATGGCATGTGCATACGTACACAGAAAGAGAAGACCATAGTGCTTTGATCCTTACTGTACAGTACTGGCTACCTTGTCCTTATTTAAAAATACCATAAGGGCAAATGATGCCATCAATGCTACCAAACACAAAATACAGTACCAGGTACTGGTTGTACGTAGTATTCTAAAGATGATGTGGCTGATTCGATTCGATTCGATTCATGTGATCTCAATCATTCCAGACAAAAGCTGCCCATCGAAAGTTTGTCTACTCAAGCATGCATTATTCTGGCAGCCCAACCACCCAACCAAACAAATGCCACAGTAACAAAACCTTGGTGCTTGACTTGCTACTTCCTGGCAATCCAATCCAAAAAGTGAACAAAAACTTCTTTGTGCTTTTGTGTTTGTGAGCTCTTTGCGCTTTGGTGGCCCTTGGCTAAGCAGGGAGAACAGTGGAGATGTTTCTTTTTCGTGGTGATAGGAACGAATAATGCATAGGACTTAAGTAACTCTATTTGACGGATCGATCTTCACAGATCAACTGGCTTCTCATGAAGTAATAGTGGTACCATTTATTGGTTCGCATTTGGGAAAGCGAACATCTCGCCACCATCCCAACCACAACCACAACCAACAATAACCATCCATAGGTATCATAGATAGCCATTGAAGCACTAAAGCAACGCAAAACAATCAAGCAAGATGCCTCCTCCTCCCAAAGACAGCGCCATGCGACGAAGCAGCCGCAGCTACTTTGCCATTGGACGTGAGTTTTACGACGATCACTACTCGGATAGTTCGATAGCATCGGTCGATGAAAAGCTGGACTTTAGTCATTCCATTCCCCGCGACCAAGAATTGCAAGTGTTGCAGCAAGCCTACCAACAAGCCATAGATGCTGATGACGCTAGTAGCAATGGCAACTCTCCCATGGTATTCATCCACGGGTTATCAGGGACTGGCAAGTCGACCCTCTTTCAGCAGTTTGCCAAATCTCTCGAAGAAAACTCTACAACATCGAGTACTAGTAAGCCGTATGTTCTGCGTGGGAAATACCAAGAATCGAGTACTCGAGATCCTCTGAGTGCGATTGTGGAGGCATTCAATGGCATTGCCGGTCTGGATGGATCCATTCTCGGCAATCTACGGCCTTTGCTAGGACGACAAGCCAGTTCTGGGACACTCATGAGTAGTACTGCTAATAGCATTAGTGCTGACGACGATTGTGAAGACAATGCATCGACCGCCACGAACAGTAGCACCAACTCGCAGACACGGCGGGATTCGAGTAAAGCGTGGAATCGAGTCAAGTACATGTTTCGAGCCGTCATGATGGCACTTACCAAACAGAAACCCGTAGTCTTGTTCCTCGATGACTTGCAGTGGTAAGATTTTATCCGTACACAACACTTATTGCATCTGATCTTTCATCTCGGTTGATTGTGTGCTGACGTGTGTGTATTCTGTATTCATGCAGGTGTGATAAGGCAAGCATGGAATTGGTGCAGGAAATGGTACTCGATAGAGACTTGACCAACTTTCTCTTTGTAGGCGCTTATCGAACCAGTGACGAGGAAGAGGAGGCGGACTATGGCAACAACAACAATTCTTCTCAACAAGCAAACAATAATAACAACAATCATCATCATGGCCACTGGGACGTGGTGCGAAAAATACAAAAAACCAATATACCGTCCATTCATTTGAACAATCTGTCTCTGGAAGGAATGACACAGTACTTGAAACTGGTCCTCCATCAAGATCAAGAAGAAGAGGCTGAGGAGGATGATTATTCAAGATTGCACGAATTGGCACAAGCCCTGCACAAAATCACCAATGGAAACATTATCTTTACCAAGGTTCTCCTCGAGGAACTATACTCCAAACGGCTCTTGTCTTTCTCCCACATGACATTTACATGGGAGTGGGAACTGGAACAGATACCCATGCTCGACAATGTACTAGAGGCTGTCACACAACGGATCCAATCCAGAACCAAAAAATCCATGCTCCTCCGCAATTTACTCATTACCATGGCATACTTGCCTCGCAATCGAGTTTCTATTGAATGCCTACAATATCTCATTTGTCATCTCGGAAAAACCGATCCAGAAGAAGCGTCCTTAATCCAGGAACTGGACAAGGCAGTCGGGGATGGATTTCTGGTACGGGACGCGGTAGACACCAAATCCTACGGGTTTGCGCACGATCGCATCAAAGAAGCAGGTATGTTATGCAAAAAATAGCTCCCCGATGCAATATTGCAGTCCTTCAATCTCCACTACACGCTTTGGAATCGCTCACCAACATTAATTTTATTTCCTTTCGTTTTGTACAGCGTATTCACTCATGCCGGAAGGTAAAGAACGAGAACGCTTTCGGTACAAATGTGGGACAGTCTTGTATGAAATGTACGAAAACAGCGGTCTCGACTGGATGCTACTCGCCGCTGCCGATCATATCAACGCGACAACCAAAGCCGTCACCAAGGGAAAAGATGCCATTTTTCTTACAAAACTCAATCTAGAGGCCGGCGAACGATGCATGTCGGTCGCGGCATTCGATAGTGTGTCCAAGTACCTCGGTCACGCCACAACCTACCTCGAAACAATCAACACGGAACCAGTATGGACGCATCACTACGATCTCACCCTGCAAGTATACTCGCTCCGTGCCGATGCCGAACTGGCCAACGGGAACTGGGAGATGGGATATCAACTTTCCAAACAAGTATTGGAACACGCCAGGTCCATTGACGATAAACTTCCAACGCAATTATCACTCGCCATGGCTCTGGGACGACAAAAGAGCCACGACGAATCGTTCCAATTGAGTTGTTCGACATTGCAATCCATGGGCTTGTACCCCAAGACGACATTCGGAGTCACGACGGGGTTGATTCGCGATTTGATGTACGTCAAACGATATTTTCGAAAAAAGTCGGACGACGAAATTCGGAGCTTGCCCATGTCATCGGATACCAGAATGGAGCTAGCCACCGAGCTCTATGGCACATCCATGCATCAATGCATTTTCCTACACCGTATCAATGATCTCGTCGCAATGACCTTGAAGGGCGTTCGATTGAGTTTGCAATCGGGCAGTCTCTTTCCGCAAACCGGCCGAATGATCACAACCTACTTTTTCGTGTGCGACGCGCTCGGTGACTACCAAGGGGCTTGTCGATTTGCCAATCTGGGCCTCGCTTTGGCAGCGCAAAATCCAGAGAATTCCAAGTATGGGTTCCTCTTGTACATGAGAACTGTCTTTCTCGACTCGTGGCACAAGACGCCCAAGGAAATGTCGGACCTGTATGAGACCGCCTACCAACGCAACATGGAAGCGGGGGATTATGAATCCGCGCTGATTGCGCGGGCCAGTTCTCTGGACCACGAGTTCCTAGCGGGAACTCCTTTGGCATTGCTCGACATTCGATTTCAGGATCTGATCAAACGACAAGAAATGTGTGTGGATTCGTTGAAGAGAGTCACCGAGCAACAATGGCTCCCTGTGCGTCATCTTCGGGGCACGATCGACACCCCATTGAACTTTGATTCTCTGGCGGATTTTGACAAGGATGATAGTGACAAGATCTATTTGATCGCGTGCTTTGCGTCCCGCCTCATTATTGCAGTCTTTTGGGGCAACTACGAGTTTGCCGAGAGCATCCTTGCCAAAGCGGGTCCAGTGACAGACAAGTCGTACACGGGGAAGGTGCCGAGGTTGTTTTTCACAACGATTGTCTACAGCACGCTGTACCGTATCAATGGAAACCGATCCTATCGAAAACAGGGCAAAGCTGCAACTTCGGAGCTCAAGAGTTTGAGTCAAGAGAGGGGAATGAACAGCTGGCACCGTGTCCTCATCGCCAATGCTCACATTGCAGGTTGCTCGAGAAAGAAAAAGTTAAGGGTCGAAGATGTTCTGCGGGAGTACGACAAGGGTGTTGAAGCCGCCCTGGGATGCCACCACAAACAAGACGCCGCGTTGGCGTCGCAATTGGCAGCTGAGTTTTTGCTTTGGGTTCAGGAGGGCGGAAACAAGTCGTCCGTCGGTTTGCACACCAAGGCTATACAAACGTATTTGCGGAACGCCATAGGCTGGTATCGGGATTGGGGCGCATCTAATCTTGTTCGCTATTTGCAGCAGAAGCATTCTCAGTACCTGGGAGGAGGATCGAGGTGACTTTGTTATAGTTAGATCCATCAGTAAGTGTAACCAAAATAGGAAGGGGATTGTAGGGATTCATTACTAGCTAGCTAGTGCTCTTCAACTCAACTTCCTGTCCCTCTTTGGTTCCTAGATAGTGGCATTCAGCGAGTGCCTCTTTGTGATGTCCAGTAACTCCGAGGTCGCGAACAAGTCCAACGAACCAGAACCAGCCTTGGTGCCAATAATACATTACCCCCTGTTTCTGTTGCTGTCGCCATCAGTGTTGTCTGGGCAACCATTTTCAATACACCAATATACGATTTCATGACGCCCTCGCCTTCTTGCCTCAAAGCATGTTCTTGCATCCCAAGGACAACCATGGGCACGGGCCCATTTCAAAATATCAAAACGCCCACGTCTGGCAGCAGCAGCACATGTTCTGGCATCCCAAGGGTATTCATTCTCGTGTAGCCATTTCAGGATTTTGAGATGCCCACCACCAGCAGCTGCGTAGCATGTCTGCTCATCCCAGTCATATCCATTTTGACACCCCCACTTAAGAACATTCAAGTGGCCATTCTTAGCTGCAGCGGCAAATGCATGATCAGTCCATGGGCATGCCTTTTCATGCAACCATTTCAGAATTTCCAAATTGCCATGCGAGGCTGCAGACTGGAATGTTTCATAATTCCATGGACATTGATTCTCATGCAACCATTTCAGCACATCCAACTGACAACCAATTACAGCAGCGTTGCATGTTAGTTCATCCCATGGGCAACCATTCTCATATCATTATTCCATGGGCAACCATTCTCATGAGCATACTTTAGAGCCTCAAGATGACCAGCTCTCGCAGCCTCTGAACATGTTCTTTTTCATGGCAACCATTTCATGGGCATATCTGAGCACGTCCAAATGACCACCTGTCGCAGCTTCTTCACAAATAGATTGATCATACCAAGGCAACCATTTCATGGCATACTTAGCACATCCAAATGACCACCTTTTGCAGCTGCTATACAAGTATCTTCATCCCAGGGCATCTGTTCATGGGCATACTTGAGCACATCCAAATGACACCTTTTGCAGCTGTGCGCAAGTATCTTCATCCCAGGGCAATCATGTTCATGGGCATACTTGAGCACATCCAAGTGACCACCTTTCGCAGCTGCTACACAAGTATCTTCATCCCAGGGGCAATCATGTTCATGGCATACTTGAGCACATCGAAGTGACCACCTTTCGCAGCTTCTTCACAAGTATTTTCATCCCAAACGCAGCCATTTTCATGGGCATATCTGAGCACATCCAAATGACCACCTCTTGCAGCCTGATAACATGTTATCTCATCCCAAAAGCAATCATTTGCTCGGGCATATTTGAGCACCTCCAAGTGACCACCTGTCGCAGCTTCTTCACAAATAGATTGATCATACCAAGGGCAACCATGTTCATGGGCATACTTGAGCACATCCAAATGACCACCTTTTGCAGCTGCTATACAAGTATCTTCATCCCAGGGAAATCATGTTCATGGCATACTTGAGCACATCCAAATGACCACTTTTGCAGCTGCTGCACAAGTATCTTCATCCAGGGGCAATCATGTTCATGGGCATACTTGAGCAATCCAAGTGACCACCTTTCGCAGCTTCTTCACAAGTATTTTATTCCAAGGGCACTCATGAGATCGCGCATACTTTAGCAGGTCCAAGTGCCCTCTTCTAGCAGCTTCTGCACATGTACTTTCGTCCCATGAAATTTTTTTCCCATGAGCCCAATTTAGCATTTGTAGATTCCCAACACGAGCAAGTGAACTGCACACCATCTTCTCCAGAAATTCATCTCCCAAAACGTAATCAGTCCAGAATTCAGCAGACTTAGTATGGGTGGCCTCTGCCTGTGCAAAAGAGCGATCCCAAGTATTCAATTCATTATGGACAAGTGGTGGATTCTCCACTGTCTTGCAGTAGGTCAAGTAACATTTTCTCATTTGTTTGCTGACGGTTCCCAGAATGGCATAGTATCCCATTCCCAGAAAGGGAAGAATGTTGTTGACCCAGACATCCTTTTGACTCATCAACGAAGAAAGGACAGTGGTTCGTCGACGTTCCTTAAAGGCTTTCACAATCCTTTCCATGTCTTCTAGTCGCTCATCAAGTTTTCGGTATTCTCCATCTTTCTCCATCTGCACGAGAGCATCCTCGCAGAGACAGAGAGACTTGGAAAAAATCCCGGCAGCATCTGATGTGGACAGCTTCTGCTTCTTGGCGGTAGGCTCCTTATTATTGGAAGAAGCCATCGTGATCGTCTGTTGGATTTGGATGCTCTTCCCTTGTTGCTTACCGGTAGCTTGTCTCTTCTTTTTGCTCTTTGCTGTCTCCTGGTGTGGGCGTGTGGGGCTCTGTTGAGCGGCTAAGATCCACTATAGAGATGGGGCTAAGCACTTCCACGGCAGTCTCAAGCGTGGTCAGCATTCCTGCGCACAACAAGGAAACCTCCTGACCACCGCTCCGAGGCTCGGCACAACCAGAAGTATACCGGTCCCGATACGTGTAGCGGCCTACTAGACTAGCTAGTATTGTCAATGTATGGGTATGCCCTGCAAGGTTTTCCGACCTGCTCTACATACATCTTGTCATTCCTCGCGAGCTAGCCTACTATCGTATCTCACAGCCATTGGCTCTCGAACCGTTACCAGAGCTGCCTCCAATTAATTGGCCTTCGGAGTGACATCTTTTGATGATTAGTCTAGCCAGGTTGCCAGACATGGGAGATGAAGAGAACCTACACACACCACTGCCGAGTTGATGTTGTAAGCAACTGTATGTCATGGAAGTACATGTATATTGCAGAAGCAAAATATTGGTAAGTAGTTCCATCGATATCCAGAGCAAGGACATGGAGGAAAGCTGCGTGGCTACGGGTACCCGGTACCTCCTATCTGCTACACATACATGTATTGGCTGCCAGCCAGTGGATGGTTAGAACGGTATACATGTAACTGATCCGAGATGAGACAGGGGCAAATGGGCTGCTACGGTACCGGTAGCTAGACCACTCAGTGTTTGGCTTTGCCGCACCGCCCGCAGCATCATCAATCCTCGATGGTAAGAGTGAGGCTAGGATCAAGCTGGATCAATGAGATCCAAGATCAAGAGATCCATGAGCCAGTGATACCATGGCAGAATAGCTAGCTTCTAAATCTGGCATTGGCAGCTGACTTTTTAAAGGCGATTGTGGAAGATTTATTAATGAAGTTTTAACTACACAGTATGACTGTCGCAAAGAGCTACTCAGTGGAAACCTCGGTTCTGTGCTTTCCGAATGCATTAAATCAAATTCATCCTTCTCTGCACCCTTGGTTCTCATCATCTGCGCTAGCTCATTACAATGCCGCCACGTCTGTGGTCAGTGACCGAAGCTCATTAAGCCTTCTTGGGTTTGACAGTGCCCTTCTCCTCGGTGATGGGAAGTTGCTCCAATGCGCGAACTGAAACGCAGCAAGCGAAACGCGGAACTTTGGTCTGCTGAAGAGTTCATGGCTGATGGATGAGCTTGGACGTTCATGCCTGATGGCTTTCTCACAAAACTCAACACCTCTCTCCAAAACACTGGATTTCCTGTATACCGGTACTGGCATCTGTAACTCATCTATCATTATTTATTTGGACACCATGACGACGACAGGAGAGGATTTAGTAGTAAGCAGCCATACTAAGAAGGAGAAGCGACTATCTCGGGTCCATGGTTGGGCCAAAGTACGCCAACTGGTGTTTTCCGATTCGCAGGCACCCTGGGATCGCAACAGCAACAAGGCATTGTTGGTAGAATCATCTGATGATGATGATGAAGATGACGACATTGACAGTGCTTACTACTCCCAAGAGAGTTATTGGACTAGTGATGACGACGATGACGAAAGCATTAACGAGGAAGATGAATTGTCATTGGCCGCCATGGCAGCACAACTGCGGGATCAGCTCCAGGAGGACAGTCTATTGAATGATAACAGTCCCCGCAGTTCGTTTGTCAAGTCTCTGCGCGAAGCCAACTGCTACTCTCCGACTGTCAGTCAGGCGTTTCCTTCGGATATCTCTCTGTCCACAGTAGACGACACTTCCGAGATTGGCTTTTCCTACCACAGTCGATCGTATCACAGTCGTAGTGGACGCAGCAGTCGACGACACTCCATCTCTCGTACGAGTCTCGGACTGGGACTAGAAGATCCTATTACAGAAGAAGGAGAACAGCAAGTCATTATGGAACTCTCATCAGACATTCAAACAGCCGAGATTATTATGAAGGAAGAAGAAGAAGAAATAGAAAGTGTTCCTCATCCCAAAGATACACTCATGGAGTTGCTCCAAGACACCAAATTCCAAATGGAGACCTTGACGGAAGACTACTGGAAAGATTTCTTTCTTCCCATTACACCCTACAGAATTGACTCGTTCAAATCCAGAGTGGCCAGACTGGTCTCCAAGGGAAACGCACAAGGTCTCAAAGAGTACCACCATCAACAGCAAGAGCAGCAGCAGCAACAGCAAAGTACCGCCATCGAATGGAATGCCTGTAATGCCAGAGGAGAGTTCTACTTACTCCTCGCCTGTCGGGCTCAGTCACGCAATACCGCCAAATATCTACTCCAACAGGGGGCATCGGTGCAAGTCCAAGACAAGTTTGGTCGATCCCCACTGGTCGAACTCTGCTGGACCAACAAACCCGATTTTGGACTCTTGACCGTCGTCATTCAACGAGCTCCGGCGTTGCTCTTTGTCCCCGATCGACGTGGATTCTCACCATTGCGGTACATTCCCAAGGAATGTCACAAGGAATGGAACGCATTTCTCCAAAGTGAACCGATTGGCTCCCGCATTGTCCTGTTTGCGCGGTATGCCGTCTACTGCCAGACGGCCTCCGAGCTGCAACGCAATCAGCAGCGACTTCAAACGCTCTTGCGGCAACGAGTGTCGTGTTCTACCAGCAGAAATACCAATACTGATAATAATCAGCTGACTCTACAAGAACCACAACAACAACAACGGGTGGTCTGCAACCATGCTTGCTAATAAGTAAGTAGCATGTAATAGGAACTAGTCTTCCACATTACTCTCCTATTACAGTGCTTTATTTGCTTCCTACCGTATTATTACTTCAACTTGTTCATGTTCAATACTTTGACTTTGCTCCAGCTGCTCATCAACACCACTGCAGGGAGAAACCCAGCACCCGTCGCCACGGCACTTCTCAAGCCATTCAGCATCAAAATGGTGGGTCCATCATTCACAGAAATGGAGAGGCTTCCATCTTCACCATCGTTATTATTATTCTTGCCAGCAGCATGAGTAGCAGTAGTATCCAAATTGAGAGTCACAGTCACCTTGGCATTGCCCGTAATGCGGGCCAGTTGATCGTTGTAGCCGGTTTGCCCATTGGCATATGTCTGCTTCAAGTAACAACCCCACGTGCCCTTTTGCACGGAAAAGTCTTCGGCCAGATTGGGAGATGCATAGGCATCGACAATGCCCACCATGACGTAATTGGCATCTGAAAATGCCAGCGTCCACTGGTAGGTGCCAGAGGTAATGGGTCGATGATGATCCAAAATGGCCATTTTGTGACTGGGCGTGGGACAAAATTCGTCACTATCCCCGTGTTTCCATGCCAACCGGGTGGTTGCCAATGCTTGTGCGCGGTAGGCTTGGTACAGTTGCTGGTGATCGGCCAAACCCGACGGCTCCACCTTGGCGGACAGAACATCAGGTCGGATCTGGGGGAGGTCCACATAGTCCGACACGAATTGCTTGGCTTTTGCGTGGTTGTTTTCAGTGGTTGTCGTGTCGGTGCCACCAGCCCACCCATGAATCAACTCCCAAATTTGGTGGTGGTGGATGGGACTTGGAGGAGGCGTCAAACCTTGCAGAATCCGTTCCAATGCCGATGCAGAAAGAAAACGGACGGCTGATGCTGAAACGTCCTCTGGATTGGATCGAATGGTGGAAAGGGCCAATGTCTCCAAATCGGATTGTTGTTGACCCTCATACGATTCCAATGCCGCAAATGCCAGGAGTGGGTGACTCTTTGCAGAATTTCGTAGTGTCCGTTGCGTGGCTTCCTGGAGGCTTGGAATGTCAAAATAGATGGCTGCGTTGGCAAGAGACACCAGCGCCTGCAACCACTCCAACTGATGAGCCTCATCTGCAGTGGCATCAGTCTTATTGTCATGTTGTTGTTGTGGAACACATTCCAATATCTCCGCCTTGTTGGTATGCAGATACTGGACAATGGACTTGATCACATTTCCAGCAAACTTTTCAATGTAGACTTCTTCTTTGTTAGACTCTTGAAAGTTTCCCATGAACATCCTCTGGAAATGGCCGCACCGTACTGCAAGCGCCATGCGATTGGCCGACACTCCAATGTCGTCATTGCCCACCAAGATCACATTGTGGAACGAGTCGTCTTCCAGCAAAACCAGGAACGATTGTTCAAACGAATTCATCCCGGAAGAAGGGCTCATGGTTGTAGAGTAGCAGATTGCGCTTTGTGGGTGCTTTTCTTCTTCGTTGTTTGTTGGTTGGGATGATGGGATGACTACGGTAGACTAGCTAGCTACGGTATCATTGTACGACAAACACACACATATGAGAGCAATCAAAGAGCCATCAAATGCTTCTCTCGTCGGCTTCAGCGACGCAATGGCTGAGTAAAAAAGTCGCCAAAATAAATCCCCACGGAACATCATGTAATAATAATATTTTATAGACCTGTGTGGGCCGCTACCGTGGAAGTGGTTAGCCCCATCGCTATTACGGATCTATTCCACGCCAACGTAACACACAGCAGCAAAAAGAAGAGACAAGCTCAAAGGATCCACATCAAACCAACCATCACCATGGCTTCTTCCAATAAGGAGCCTACTGCCAAGAAGCAGAAGCTGTCCACATCAGATGCTGCCGGGATTTTTGCCAAGTCTCTCCGTCTCTGCGAGGATGCTCTCGTGCAGATGGAGAAAGATGGAGAATACCAAAAACTTGATGAGCGACTAGAAGACATGGAAAGGATTGTGAAAACCTTTAAGGAAAGTCGACGAACCACTGTCCTTTCTTCATTGATGAGTCAAAAGGATATTTGGGTCAATAACATTCTTCCCTTTCTGGGAATGGGATACTATGCCATTCTTGCTAGTGTGAACAAACAAATGAGAAATCTTTACTTGACCTACTGCAAGACTGTGGAGAATCCACCACAGGTCCAATATGATTCTTCTTCTTTTTGCATTGATGACTGCTTTAGAAAGGCAAGGCCCACCGATACTATGTACAGTGCTGCATTCTCCAGCATCAAATCTGCTAATTATTGGAAAAATTACATTGTGGGAAATGAATCTCTGGAGATAAGAGTGTGCAATTCGCTTGCTTGTGTTGGGAATCTACAAATGCTTACATGGGCTCATGAAAACTCTTTTTCGTGGAATGAAAGCACATGCTCAGAAGCTGCTAGAATGGGGCATTTGGATGTGCTAAGGTATGCATACTCTCATGGGTGCCCTGGGAGTGACGCTGAATGTCCGCTCGCAGCGAGGAACGGCCATTTAGAAGTCCTCAAATGGCTCCGCGAAATTGATGGCTGTTGGCCTTGGGATAAGATGACATGCTATGAGGCTGCAAGTGGTGGTCATTTGAGCACACTCAAATATGCCCATGAACATGGTTGCCCCTGGAATGTAGATACTTGTGAAGAAGCTGCAAAATTTGGTCACTTGGATGTGCTCAAATATGCCCATGAACATGATTGCCCCTGGGATCGAGACACATGCTCTGCTGCTGCCAAAAATGGCCATTTGGATGTGCTCAGATATGCCCATGAGAATGGTTGTCCATGGGGTCCATCAACCTGTGAAGCTGCTGCTGAAAATGGCCATATGGACGTGCTCAGATATGCCCATGAGAATGATTGCCCATGGGGTCCATCAACATGTGCGGCTGCTGCATCTGTTGGTCAGTTGGATGTGCTGAAATGGTTGCATGAGAATCAATGCCCATGGAATGAAGAAACTTGTGAAGAAGCTGCAAAAGGTGGTCATTTGGACGTGCTCAGATATGCCCATGAGAATGGTTGCCCATGCGGTCCATCGACATACGTGGCTGCTGTTTATGGTTGTCAGTTGGATGTGCTGCAATGGTTGCATGAAAATCAATGCCCGTGGAATTATGAAGCGTTCCACTCTGCTGCCTCACATGGTAATTTAGAAATTCTGAAGTGGTTGTGTGAAAAGGAATCGCCATGGACTGAGGAGGCATTTGCCATTGCAGCCAAGTATGGCCACTTGAATGTTCTTAAGTGGGGCCATAAAAATGGATATGATTGGGACGAGCAAGCATGCTCAGATGCTGCAGCTGGTGGGCATCTCAGAATCTTGGAATGGTTACACAAGAAAGAATACCCTTGGGATGCTAGAACATGCTCTGCTGCTGCTGGGGGCGGGCATTTGGATGTTTTGAGATGGGCCCGTGCCAACGGTTGTCCATGGGATTCCACAACATGTGCTGCCGCTGCCAGAAATGGATCTTTGGATATTTTGAAATGGGCCCGTGCCCGTGGTTGTCCTTGGGATGCGACAACATGTGCTGCTGCTGCTGCTGGCATTGGGTCTTTGGATATTTTGAAGTGGGCCCGTGCCCATGGTTGTCCTTGGGATGCGAGAACATGCTCTGAGGCAAGACAGCGAAGAAATCCAGAATACGTAGCTTGGTGTATTGAAAATGGTTGCCCAGATGGCAGTAACAGCAACAGAGGTTGATATCTAATAGTATTTTAGAATCTTGAGTTTGGTCGAGTACCTTTATACGGCACGTCATGAGGTTCTAAAGGTAAGCCACGAGTGTACAGCCAATGCGGCAGGAACCATCGGTTAGCACGCCAGGCCGAAGATGGTACCACCACCAACGCTCTTCTTGATACCGTAGTGGTTGGAATTGTCTCTCTTGGAGTCATCAAACCAATAGGCTACCAGCACTTGGTCTCAGTGCCAGAACAGACTGTCCAGCCCATTCGGCTGTTTGCTTCAGATACACATACAGTAGAATAGTTCAATTTGTTGAGAATCGATCCCTGCCAAGAAGCCAGAGAGAACGTCATACTTGGTAGCAAACGCGCAAGTGTCTTTGTGTACGAGATCATCGCAGCAGCGAAGCGAGGGATACCCCCAGGCCTGTTGTTGCCACCACAAGTACGGTACATCTCAGTCCTGGATTTGAGCGACTATGGAACGATACCCTGGAGTGGGTTGAGCTTCTGTACGTACGGCATCGAGCTAGCCCAAAATCTGACTTGCCTGCCAGTCCAGACCACCGGACACAAAAAGAAGCAAACAAAAGATGTGAAGCAACTGGCTACCTCAACCCAAGCTGGCTGGTTCTTCAAAGTGGATCGATTGTTCCTCGCACAAGCAATTCAACGGGGGGGGGGTACCCCGGTCGGTTTTGCTTCATAGACCGAAGTGAGCTAGGGAGCCAGCACAGATTCCAGCGCAAGATTTGACTTCGCGGCTACAACCTACTAGCTAGTACCGGTACATGCGCTTTGAAGCCTGAGTAAGCCTCAGCACAAGCTAGACTGGGATCTTTTGTGTATGCTGCTGGCCTCAACCCAAGATGAGGATGGTAAAAAGTTGGGGGACTGTTCCTCACACGGGCAAAAGGGAGGTGGTTTCCAAAGGGGGGTAGCGGTGCTCTTTTCGATTGTTCCTTTGCAAGGTGGTTTCGCGCTCCCACTGGGATAGATACGTCCGGTGAAAGCATCAAGAGGTCAACCATACATAGCTACAACGTCTACCGGTGGATGCCAAGTGAGTAAGGTGGATGCCAAGTGAGTAAGAAACGAGCAACAGGAGCGAGAGTTAGAAAAGAACGATGCAAGACTTCGACCCAAGGAAACTGCCACAGAGAAATCAATACCATACGCTACTATATCCGGGACAGGCAGGTATCCACCGTATCTGGCAGTTCTCTTTGCCTGGCTGCCGGCTCAAAGATTGGTTTCGCGAAACGAAAAGCCTCGAGTCTGCTGTGAGGTGAGGAACTTGTTTGCAGAGAGGATCACCCATCGTTTCTCCCCCTTCTCTCCACGGCCACTGGTTAGCTAGCTAGCTTCTACTCCGAAGTCTCCAAAGATATCTAGATGATGGCTCAAAGCTAGCTAGCTAGCTGGATGTGGCGACGAAACGAAACGAAACAGCACGACGAGTGAGCAAAAACGAGAGCTCTCGGGGTTTGTGACACACTCCAGAGACCTGAGAAAAAGAAGCCTGGATCATGCTAAAGTTCTGTTCTGTTCTTTGCTTGATTTCTGTGCACCCAGCAGGCTTCAGGGAATGGATTCGATTCAATTCATTCCAACCCCGAACCAAGCCGTGCTGGAACGGCGAAGATTGGCGTCATGATGGCGAAGATGTCATCATCAGCCGAACCCCAGCAATCTCGAGAAAAGTTAGCTAGCTAAAGCAAAAAAGGCAGGATGGGTTTGGTATATGAAATTGTGATTCTAGCTATAGCTAATAGTAAGGTATTATAGTTAGATAATCTATCTGGTAGGCAGATAGTCGGATTTTGAATTGAATGTATGAAGGAGTGGCTGTTGCTAATAAGGCCAGGTCGGCTCGGGTCTGTGTCGTGGCGTGCTTAGGCAGCAGCCGCAGTTTCGACGCCTGGATTGGTGGAAACCAGAACATTGATCATGAGCTCTCCCAAGATCATGCGTCCTCCGCAAGGTCGTCGTTGGGGACCGCAGTGCCAGAGCATGCTAAGGGACAGCTTGCGAATCCGTTCGAGTCCGGATTGCAGTTGGGCCAGACTGCGCAACTGATAATGGATCTGACACTGATTGTTCAGGGCCAAAAGCGTCATCATGGTAACATCCGGGGCGGCAGAAGAAGAAGAATTGGTTTGTTCCATGTACTGCAAGGCTTGTGCGTAGCAGAGTGCTGCCTTTTCATGACAGGATCGTTGCCGTCGATTATGGAGTTTGCCTTTCAGGTGAAACGCCAGGCCCATGTTGAAACAGACGGCCGCCAGAGATACGCGGACTGTTTGCAGCGAGATTCCAGCTGTGGACTGTGGCAGCTGTATCAGGAGCGCTTGATTGTGAACAAAGAACCTGTCATCTTGGATGTGAGGAATCTCAGAACCAGACCAAACACAGGACTGATGCTCATCACTGCTTTTGATACTACTACTGGCAAGAGCGTCTGTGCAAGTGCTTTCAATCTCATGAAGAGCTCTCAAGGCGCCTTGAAAGAATTTCAGGGCTTGACTGGAGTGACATTCTTCCAAGAGATTCACGCCTTCTTGGTTCATGCTGACGGCTTCTTGGACCTTCAGGTGGACGTGTAGTGCAGACCTCATCATTGTTTGTCAATGTCAGTGAGTGTGTGTGTGTTGAGCGAAACGAAAGGTTTGCTTGCTAGGAGTTTGGATTGTGAGACCCAAACCTGACATAACCACAACAAACCCAGCAAGATAGGACTCTCGTGCTGAGGACTGAGGACTGGGCAGATACCTTCAATTTATGAACCTTGATTCTGAAATCTCGTCAGAGAACAAGGAACAGAAGGTTGGTGCCGAAAGAAGGTGTTCTGCATTCTCTCGTAATTGCTTTGACTGCAACAAAGTTCCTTCGAACAACCAATAAATAAATATCCCATTCCTTGAGTGAATGCAGGATCTCTGAAGCTTTTTTAATTCGTACTGTGCGGTTCGGTACGGTATTGTGCAGTAACGGTACACAAGGTACACAAATAAATCGTCAATGAAAAATTGTCTGCAAAAATCCTAAAAGACTGTCCACTGATAATAAAGAAGTAATACTTTAGAATACTGAAAGTGTTCGGGACTAGTGTTCGGGAGCAGTGTTCAATAGCAGTGTTCGGGAGAAGTGTTCCCTGAGGAATGCGATTTTCAGCTTGCCTTTTGTTATAAAGACCTCCTTGGAGTAACATTATTATTGTGGTTTTATGTGTGACTGTACATGACATGGTATGTATCAATCCTGATCCTGCACTGATTGAACAGACCTTTGGCAGCTAGTCTATATTACTCAGTACATGTACATGTCATGCACAGAGATCCAAAATCCAAAGGCTTCTTTTCTCATTCTATAGCTATTCTACTTAGTACTGTTTTGCACATGAGCTGTCAACGTTGTTCTCGTTCCATCCACCGGATATCCGGTACTCAGGTCGCCCATCCTTGGGGTTCTTCATGATATCTTTGGCATTAACGGACAGCGGGACACGACATGGTGGAGCCTTGCTTCCGGCTGCCACACTATTACAACAAGGTCTCGACACAATCGGGGGGCTGTTACACCGTGTCTTGTGCAGAACACTTAGGTCCGCAAGATGCAAGAGGCATGGCATGGGCAGGACAATGGGCTGGTCCTTTCAGAGCTGGCGATGGCAGCGAGACACCGGTACCGCAATGACCCCCGCCCCCGTTGCCAACATTGTGTCTACAGTCGTACTTGTATCTGGATTCATCACTGGGCTGTTACACCATGTCTTCTTGGGCAGAAGCCTTAGAAGGTCTGGAGACTCATGCGTCATAAGGATACCAGATCTGGCTAGCTAGCTACTACGGTAATAGCCAGCAATGTTACGTGCTCTCCTCCTTGCATGATCAGATTCTTGCAAGCAAGATACTAGCTAGTACCTCTGGATAGCTACCGTACGGTACCATGATATCCAGAGCCTGCAGCCTGCAGCTCCCTCCCTACAGGTTACCCTCACCTGCCACGCGCATACTTTTGCGGTACTGGCTATCCAGGGGCTGCAGCCTTCAGCTCCCACCGGTTACACCGTACCCTGACCTGCCGCTCATGGGTTCTACTAGTGGACTAGTCTTCCAGTCATCAATGCCAGATATCGTCGTCGGCTGACTTACCAAATCGGACCGCGCTGTCCTTCTTCTGGGGTGAAACAGGAAGAAACCCAGTCCCGACCGCCCACCCAAAACTGGAGCTCTCATCTCTGGCTTGTTCTTCTTGTACGGTAGCTCGAGAAACCTTACGGTAGTCTAATGATAATGCAGCAACCAATAATGTTGTTATTACCAGTGAGTGCAACTTCATGGGGTATTTCCACATTTCCACATTTCCACAGTCCGTAAAAAGGTTATGGCATGCCAGGGACTTTTTGAAGACTCAAAACAGTAGTTAGCTTTGCCACCTTGCAGCCACCTCGCAGAGGGCAGGGGTGGGTTAGACTGGGGAATCAAATTCCTGATCGGGACTTCGCATTTGGTTCAGCTAGCTTCGTTTTGGCAATAGACTTTATCAAACAGTTTCGTCGGGACTTCGAATTTGGCAGTACGACTGTACCCCTGTGCTTCCAGTTTCAAGGAGCCGTTCAACCACAACAAGACATTATGGTATCGATGGAAAGACACGTTGCAAAGCGAAGAATGGACAACAGACGTACAAAGTGCGCACTTTTTGAAACACCTCGAGCCTTCCATAGAAAACGGTGGTCTCTTCTCTTGCTTCACTGACATGCAGCCAGCATACAGCAGCTACGAGACCCTGAACAGTAATACCAGTAGGATATTTCAAAAGCAAGCAACCTGCGAAGAAGATGTAGAGCAGCGTGGATTGATGGATGATGGTATCTTTGTATCTTTCTATCTTGCTACCGGTATGAGGATCAGGATGCGAAGGGAGTTCCACGAGTTAATTTCACTGTTGGCCGCATCACCAGTTGCTTCTCCTTCGTTCCAGATACGATACCGTATCATGCAGCAGCATGCAGAAGATTGCGTTCCATTCGTGGAGGGCGGAGGAAACTGGCTCTTGGGGGATGTTCTGAGCTTGGAACGAGGAACGATAGCTAATTCTCGTTGAAACCTTATGATGGTGAGGATGTTGAAGGTTGACTATTGATGCCCGTGTTGGATTGGTGGCTTGTCGATTCGCACCACCAGCAGCAGCAGCAGCAGCACCAGTAGCCAAAGTGGCAGGAAGAGGCGAAGAGGACCGAGTTGAAGACTTCGGTTCTTCGGTTCGCCTTCATGATGGCTGTTTCGTCCACGGCAATTGGACAGGGAACAAATCCTATTCGGGCTCTGGCCCCACAACCAAAGGTAGCCATCCAAGGCAGCAAAAATTAGCTCGTGCTAGCTAGTGTTATTGTTCAAGCGGCCAGGTTTATCATAGGATGCAGTTCGGCAGGGGGGCAATCGGCGCTTAGAGAGACCAGGCGCCAGACCTGATCGATGGTATTATCACTCGTGGTGGTATTGCTTGCATATTGAGCAGTCCTTGCTACAACCACATTCATCTTCTTTTTCTCCATCCACTCTCAGCGAAGAAAGAACACAACTCAATTCCTCAACTGGCAAACTAACTAGCCAGTTTGCCATTGAAGCTCAAGTTGAAGAATGTGTGTGTACAAGTCAACCCAGAAAGAGGGCCACCCCTGCAGCACTGTTTTCCAATATTCCTCACCAACACTCGTTCTTCGACTGGGCCACCAGCTTGAACAGCTAACCAGTAGCTGCAAGTGTGATGTAGCTGTCATGCGTGTTTGCTTCCGCACTTGAAGTGCACGGCAACACCACCCCGTCTCAGGCATGCGATCTAATTGCTCGTACCGGTACAGTAGAGCATTGATTTCAGCGTCTCTCGTTAGCTGCTGGAACTAGATCCCCCAGTGCATCGAAGCCCCGTCGCCATCGAAACGAAAGACGTCTCGGCCGTCCGTCCGGTGGTACCAGTTTTTTGTCTTCTCCATCTGCTTGTGATGGTCGTTAGCTATGTATTGGGGCGTTGACATTAGGGCGTTGACATTGGATTGTAGCGGTTCAAGGGAGTTCCATGTCATCCACGGATTTTGTCTTTAAAAAACATCTGAGGGCGGCCGTGGAAAATGAATGGCAGCCCCACGGTTAGCCCTATCTCTGATGATGGAACCAAACCATGACCCTTGCAGCGAACAAGACAAAGGTCCACAAAAACTAAAAGAGCACCATGGCATCTTCCAAGGAGCCCGTCCCCAAGAAGCAAAAGCTGTCTGCTTCCGCTGCTGCCCAAAAGTTTGACGATGCCCTTGCCCTGTGTGAGAGCTCTCTTCTGGAAATGGCGGAGGAGGGCGACAAGGAACAGGTGAATCTGAGGCTCAAGGCTATGGTAGCAGTAGCGAATGGTTTTAAGGACCGATATTCATTGATGAGTCAAAAGGATATTTGGGTCAATAACATTCTTCCCTTTCTGGGAATGGGATATTATGTAATCCTTGCTAGTGTCAACAAACAAATGAAAAATCTTTACTTGACCTACTGCAAGACTGTGGAGAATCCACCACTTGTCAAGTATAATTTTTCATGTTTTGGCGACAATGACCACTTTGGAAAGGCAAGGCCCACCGATACTATGTACAGTGCTGCATTTTCCAGCATCCACTCTGCTGATTATTGGACTGATTACATTGTGGGAAATGAAACTCTCGAGATTAGGGTGTGCTGTTCGCTTGCTGGTGGTGGGAATCTACAAATGCTTAAATGGGCCCATGAAAAATCTTTTTCATGGAACGAAAGGACATGTGCAGAGGCTGCAAACAAGGGACAATTAGCTGCGTTGAAATATGCACGCACTAATGGCTGCCATTGGAACGGGCTAACATGTCGGATAGCAGCAAAAAATGGTCATCTGAATGTCCTTCAATGGGCACATGAAAACCAGTGCCCTTGGGAATGGGATGAAGACGCATGTTCTGAGGCTGCTACTCATGGTCATTTAGATGTGATTGAATATGCCCACCGGCATGGTTGCCCATTCGACGAACGAACATGTATAGCTGCTGCTTCTGCTGGGCATCTGCACGTTGTGAAATGGTTACACGAAAATCAACGCCCCTGTTGTGCACTCACATGCGTCATGGCTGCCGCCTATGGTCATCTGGAAATACTGAAATGGGCCCGTGAAAAGGACATTTCATGGGATGTTTGTTGCTGCCGTGCTGCTGCTGCAAATGGGCATTTGGAAATTTTGAAATGGTTGTATGAAAATCAGTGCCCTTGGGATTCCACAACATGTGTTGCTGCCGCCGAATATGGGCATTTGGATATTTTGAAATGGGCCCATGCCAATGGTTGTCCTTGGGACCAAGAGACATGCTCTGCTGCCGCCGAATATGGGCATTTGGATGTTTTGAAATGGGCCCGTGCCAATGGTTGCCCTTGGGATGCACAAACCTGATGAAATGCAAGAAGGAATAACCACCAGGAAATTCTGGACTGGTGTCTTCAAAATGGCTGTCCAGATGACAATGACAGTCTCATCTCAGATTTCTACGTTGGTGAGAATTCCCGTATGAACTCATAGCCACAAGAACTGGTTTGGTCACATTTGTTGTTGGGCCTTGATGTATCCCCTGTAGGAGGTTGTTCCTTTCTTGCAGTGCACTGTCTTTGAACTGGCTCCCTAAACTCTAAACAACTCCTTTGCAGAGTGTACCGGTACCGTACGACCATAGCTACCCTACGCATCCAGAGATAATAAATTCTACCAGATGGTTTATGGAGCGAGGGGGGCTAAGCTTGGCAGAAGGTATCGGTGGTGGGGAATCACAGGCCGCACGCATCCATAATGTCGTTTGTTGGCAGTGTTCGTTTTCCTGTTTTTGATCAACGAGACAACCTTTTAGCCCCAACTCTGATGGTGGTTGAAGTGCGTGTCTCTGTCTCTGGTATTTTAAAGGGGGGTTTAGAGTAGGGTAATTATCTATGGAAGTCTGAAAGATCGAAGGGCGCGACCATGAAGTTACTGCCCGATTGTGTGGGGGCCTTTGCTTTTAGGTAGCGACGATATATCGAACATGTGAACACAAGTCTTCTGTAGTACCAGTATAGCAAATCCAGATCAATGGTGAAGAAGCAATTCTATGACGGCGGCAGCAGAACAGGGAGCGCACCGAAGAATACCGTTACCAATAGCGGTACCGGAACATGCCGTCGAAAAGTGCTGTTTCGAGTGCTTTTGGCTGTGGGGATTGTTGTGTGCTTGGTAGAGTTTGCGGTTCACTTTCTGTTCGGAGAGGCTCGGTACCGGTATATGTTAAACAATGTAGCCAGATTGTCATTGCTGAAAGATGCTACCGGTGCTACTGTGACAAGCTCATCGTACAGCAACAGTGTGCACACTATTCTACAGGCAAAGGCGCAGCAATCGGTACAAGATCTACTAGCTAGACGGGTGTTTGACACTACCGTGTCTTCTCAGGAAGTGGTACTCCAGAAAAGCTTTCCGATGAAGTGGAATTCCTGCATTTTGACCAGCAAGTCATGGCCTGCCAACACTCTGAACATTGCCCTGCTGGGGGGATCAGCATCTGCCTTGTCTCCCTTTCACTGCTTTCCTCCAGAAAATCCAATGGCAGGAAGATACAGTAACATACTGCAAGAGAAGTTACAAGAAACTACCAGCAATTGGAGTCATCATGATCATGACAATCATGATGAACCATCAGCCACCATCCACTTTCACGTACACAACTTTGCCCAGGGCGGCACCGATTCATTTGACAATGCCTTGGTGGTGGACCATTTGATGGATCCCTACAATACTGATCTCATTATTCGAGAATTCAGTGTCAATGATGGACTGAATCTTGACGTTCCCAGACGACGAGGAGATGTCACGGGGCACTTGGACCTGTGGATGGCACGAGTCTATTCGCTCTTTGCGGCGGCAGGCATTTCACCTCCACCACCTCTGTTGCTGTTGCATCTTTGGGACTACGACGAAGGGAAACATCTAGAGGAAATGAAACTATCGGGACACTTGCGAGATCAAGTTCTGCAAAGACAGTGGGATGTCATTCGTCATTATCAATCCATTATGAACTGGGATATACAAGTCATCAATGTGGCACGAGGTATCAATGGAACCGTCGTAGCGGACAATGTCGAGGCACTCTTGGATGACCCCCTTCATCCATCCTGTACTGCCAACCAACTGATCTCATCCATGGTACACTATGCCTTGTTGGAAAACATTGGCGCTCATTGCACTTCTCATTCGACACTGCAACAAACATCCACACCACCGCAACAACAACCAACAGAGTTGAAACCATTTCGACCTGCTGAGCGCGATCCCTTTTTGGCGAATCCATTCTTTGATGCCTTTGTTCAAGGTCATCTAGTAGCACGGGTGGCGTCCATGTCACCGGAATTGCCACATGCCCCCAATGTATCCAATTTCAATAGCCAAACCATGCAGTCGTTGGCACTAATGGACAGTCTGGTGGTCAATTCCGACCGAGAGGATTATCGAAGAATGGATCGAAAGACTTTCTGGCGCTTGCCAGGATGTCAAGAAGACAATGACAAGCAACCTCTACAATTTACGCTTCATGAACCCGATTTAGAGTACTTGGCCTTTCGTCTCACCAACATGCAGCGCCAAATGTGGTTCCGCATTACCATCAACAACGGCATTTCGAAAGACTTTACTCCGGATTCTCCATTGTCGCATCAACGATTCACCGTGTTGTGGAAGATTGCCGATATTCTAGCTGCTAGTACGAGGGCCCAGCAATACCACTTGTCCTTTTGCAGTACCATTCCCAACTATGGGCGATTGGAGGGGACCAAAGCCAACGGGGAGGCCCGCACAGAACGAGATATCAAACAGGAAACGACCTACCTGCAGTTCGTTGTGGCGGTGATGAGAAAACCATGAGCATTGTCAAGGATGCAGAGGAACCGTGAACAGTAGCGAATGGAGAGCATGTCGAATGCAAAGGGGGGACAAAGTCGGCCTTACATTGACAACGGGCAAGCACGATAATCCAAATATGATAGCTGGTGCGACTACTAAATCGAAATCCTCCGATACCATTCCGTGGCAGGGACTACCGTTGCGCTCCATCTTCAGCCATCACGACATTCGTAATGTTGTTGATCCAAAATTATTTTCTACATCTACGATGTTCTTTTGCGTGAACAGTCGCCCTCGAACTCCAGTTCATTGCTTATTCACAAAGTCTCAGCAAATGAAACCACCCAATACGCCAGGTACAACTTCCAGATTCACAGTCCTCATCAGTGTCGCACGGGTGACCACCAACGAGCAGTGAGTCTGTACAAGTCCAGCTGACACAGGTCCCGTGACACTCATCATCATTGTGACAGATATGTCCGGCTGGCCATTTGCCCAACGGAATGGGAAAACAGTCATCTGGCATGGCCAACAATCCATTGATTCGGTCTCGGTACGAATTGCGATGATGCATGTCGACACTCCAAGGGAAGCGATCCCTATCTTCATCGAGTCCCAAGTACAGCATGGGATAATTGATTTCGTCCAAGAGTATGGAATGTCCCACTTGTATATTGTCGGCAGGGAATCGTTGATTGGCAATGGCATCGTATTGACCCGCCGCATTGGAATTGGTGAATCGGAAATGTCGGGAGGTGTCCAAATCAGTGCAGGGGAATGCCGGATCGTGTCCGACCACAGCCCTCATGGCTCCAAAGGTGATAATGGTGGGATCCATATCGTACGCTTTCAAATCCAGTGCTGCCACAATGGCCACTCCTCCGCCTTGAGAGAGTCCCGAGAGGACCACAGGACAGGGTTCTCCGGTCGCCGGGACACACAAGGCTACGCACCGTTGCATGGCGTCTCGAAAGTTGTCTAGATATCCGTTAAAGTATGCGTCCATAAAGCCTTGTCGTATGCGGCAATCGGTGCCTTGCATATGTACGGAAAAGGGATTCAGATTTTGTATATTGTCAACGATGTGTGTGGGACTCAGAGTGGCCTGAAAGACCCCGTGACAAGCCTCATCATACCCACCACTAATATCGGTAGCATTGCCGTCCACTCTCCCTTGTTTGGCTACCAAGGCGCCGTCGTTGCTATCCGACCAGGCCTCGTAAAATGCCAGATCAAATTCTTGTACCGCTGCCGCCCCATTGTGAATATCTCGGTCCAGAAACAAATATTGAAACGCCAGAGTAAAGTTCATGCGTTCCACAAATTTGCGATCCAAGCCAAGATGAAACTCTTCTTCTCCCACGGCCAATGGAAGTCGGGTAGGACTCAAAGCAGAGCAACTTGGTTCTTGTTGGAGCTGACGCTCGTCTCCAGCTGAAATCTCCGAGGTTGGAACAATAAGGGTAGCAGCTTGACCGTTGCTATGATTGATCTTGCTGCTGGATACCCACGACGGCAACTCCAGCTGAATCAACGCGCACAGCGCCACCAAGGACAGACCTAGCGCTAGCAACTGGTTGGAGCAACTCTGTTTCATGGTTGCCCGACTAATTATGCTGATAGATATTCAAGTTATGTACATGTACTTCCCAGTCAACTATTCATTCCATCGGTTGCTTTGTAGCCCGCAGTTTTTGAAATTTTGTTGTTTGAATGGAAAAAGTGAGGACGAAGAAGCTTCTTTTATGTGGCAGGCATGCTATTCCAGAAGCAGGTTGACCCAGTGACCCGTGCATGCTTAAGGCAGCAAGACGGAGTGTTACCGGAACCCTCACCGGAACACATCTAGCTAGCTAGCTAGACTAGCTAGAGACTACTAGTAGCTAGTGAAATAGACCAACTGGTTGCCCAACACTTACTTGTTGTTGCCATTGTTGCTCTTTCGGTGGTGTGGTGGGGCTTTGTTGGGGGTAGTCACAAGGACCTGGTGTTTTTAATTCAAAGTATGGAGTAGTGGCAGAGGCAACACAACGCAAGCTGGCTGGAGCTCGGATCATGCACCATTGGCAGGTTAGAAATGGTCTATTAGCATGGGTTATTTGAAGCCTAATAAGCAAACAAGGATAGCCCGCTGCGTGACCAATGGAGGTGCAGTTGAGGGGGCATATTGGTTTCCCACCGCCTTTGCAGCTGATCGTTAGCTATCTAGCTAGTAGGAAGGAGTCCTTCAATAGTTACGCCGACCGTGAGACCGGGGATTTGTAGTCTGCTGGGCGGACGAGGCCCACCCCCACTCCAAACGGCTCGGACTGCGGCTGCGCGCCACCTTGGTGGTATCTCTGAGCCGAACTGACGGTTTTGCAAGTCACACAGAGCACGTAGCGTAGCCCGGCAATGCAGACGAGAGCTTCTTGACAGTTGGGACAGTCCAGTGCCACGGTGGGCTCCACCTGTTGGCAAATGGCAGCCTTGGTCCGGGCAGTAGAACCCACGTAAGGGACCTTGATGTTGCCAATCTCCACCATGGGCTTTCCGTGTTCATCCAAATCTGCCCTCAGATAGGCTGGCTGGTCATAACACTGTTGCTGGTGCTCTTCCAGTTGTCTTCGTCGTAGTGTTAGTGGGCCATGTTTGTGCAGTGTATCGGACAGCCCCATGCTGTCTTGCTGTTGTTGACCACCCCCGCTTGCAGAAACGTCGTCTCGTCTTGAGGTGCTTGTAGTACTAGTAGTACCGGGCATTATCTTGGGTGGTTGCACCTTATTGCCGGTGCTGCTTGTAGTACCGAAGGAACCGTAGCTCGAGTTCTCGGAAGAAGAAGAACTACCAGAGCGTTTTGGGTTGCCTTTGGGTGTTGGAAACGGGGGAGTTCTTTGGGTGGTCGCATCATCAGACAAGCTTGTGTCTCTGTAAATAGGGGCACTGATGCTCCGTGGCATTGCTGTCAAATGAGTTTTATGCATAGCTGAAGCGGTATCATCATCTGTGGGAGAGGAAACCACTGCGGATAAGGAAGCCGAGCGTGTGAGCCATTGCTCCGTCCATTCTTCCATGAACGCGTCATGTTCACTGTGGCATACCCGATCCGGCGTTTCAATGGTAGCGGCTACTCGCTTCAAATCAGGATAGAGCTTGTTTTTCTTGTTGTGACTGCTGCGGTTGCTGGTGCTGCTGGGTGGAGGAAACAGCAGCATATCCCGGAATGCCGCTGCTGCGGCTGTCTGTGGAGTTTTGGTCGGCGCTAGATTGGAAACATCGTGCTGCTGGCCGTCCACGGCAAGCACATAGGAGCTTCTTCGCTTGACGTTGCCGTCACTGCTGCTATTGTCACTGCCGCTGTTGTGGGAAGCAGAGGCTGCTACCGCAACCTTGGCATTATCCGTGTCATTTGCGTTGGAGATGTTCATGTTGAAAAACAATGTGGTGCGAGATGTAATACTGATATTGTGAGACATGTATGTGAGATACCTGTGAGTTTTGGGCCGTGATTTCAAGTCCGCCGGGATCTTTGTGTGTGATCGATCTCAACAAGAAGAGGAGCGTACTAGCTAGCTACTAGCTAGAGTCCAAGATTACTCTCGGGGCCATTCAATCCATGCATGCATGAGCTGTGTCCGGATTTTCTTTTTAGTAGACTACAGTAGAAGTCCCACTTTTACAAGCTGCAAGATGCTTTTAGAACTCTAGCTAGCTAGCTACTAGCTGGCGAGCTTCTTTGATGAGTTCAGTACGAAGTAGCTCTGATGAGTGAGCACACTTCATACAGATCACAGATTACAGTCGTATTACCAGTATTCGCTATCGACTATCTAAGCTGGCAGCTTTACCAGCACGTTCAGCTGATAGGAGGTGTGGGTTGCCGTAACAGTGGTTACTGTGCTTTGGTCCTCCAAACTGGGACATAGGGGAATCTACGGCCTTTCCTGGATCTTCTCGACTGTCCACTCAGTTCTCAGTAACTAACTGTTGTCCATTGCAGTTCGATTCTGCTACCGGTACGCTAAGTTCTCTCAGTAAGCGATGCAGTCAAGGGTGTCTTCTGTGACTCGAACGAGAGCGAATTCGTCTCTTCCTACAACCTGCAACAGTACGGGACAGTTACAGTACGTGCAGTACCTACTGTCTCTGTTCAACTAAGCCCTACTCTGAGTAATTGTCCCTTACCGGTAGACAAATAAATGAAATAACTTGATACTTAGAGGTCTTTGTTAATGGAATGAATGACCTCGTGGCGTAAGGAATCAAGAACCCATTGGAGCTGTCGAGAGTTGAAACTGAAATCGCAGATCGCAGAGATCTTGGCGAGCAGGTGACGAAGCACCGATCAATCTATTTTGTTCATCGTTCAAGATAATTAGATAATTGTCTACATCCCTGAAAGCAACTGTTAAACAGCTTTCTCTAAAACAGTGGATTTTCTCAACGAGTTAGTGGTACCAGTACTGGTACTGGTACAAGAAACCCGGGAGGAGCGAGGGCTTGGCAACCAACTTGGCAATCCTCCAAGCTCTGCCTACTGCCTACCAGGTACCGTAGCTGCACAAACGGCAACTGTCCTGGTTATCACCTGGAGCCAATGGAGATACTCAGTAGCGGCAATGGTGTTCAGGCAGCCAAGCAACGCTGTCGTCACGTCGTCACTACACAGTGTACGCAATACATGTACTACGTAGCCACTCTTGATTGCAGCCTACAGCCTACTACTAAGTAGCTTCCTAGTTGCAAATCTCAAGCTGCTGGATGCAGCTCGTTCAGCTATCGAGGTCTGTAGCCGGCCCTATAAAAAAATTCTTTTCATTCATTGCACTCTCACCTGCAATTGCAAGGCGTACGAGGAAGGTTGCAAGGTCAAAACTTGCCGTTAGTTGGCTTTAATTAAAATACTCCCGATCGCCCTCTTGTTTAGTGTTGTTGGCTCCTTCCACAACGTGAAGTCGAGTCCAACCATGTCTCAAATCTTCCCTTGCCTTTCCCCCTTCTTCCTAGTTGTCGGCTTGAAGCGTGTAATGTAGCAGCTAATGCAGCTGCGCACTGCGCATCCACCTCCTACAAGCTGCATGCTCCGAAAAACGGGATTGAGCATGGAGACAACCTTCTCGGATGCTTTCTCTGCAGCATTATTTAATTTTGGTGCGATGGCTTTTTCGATCGACTTGACGGCAACTCGTCAACTCACAGCACGTTCTTTTTTCTATAATGGGCGAACTGCACGGGTCGATGGGTATGCGGCGGTTTACAATTCAGAGCAGCTGCGGTAGCGCGGTAGTTTTCGTCATCCTACAGCCACCACATCTCAACACTCTTATATCCTTTGCA